TATATATATATATATTCTGAGGTTTAATGAGGTTTAATGTAATAGCATTAAAAATATGAACCCTGGGTATATTCATGTTTAAAATAAAATGAGCACCAGGGTAGTTAAAACTATAAAAGTTTAATTAAAAAACGGCAAAAGCATAATGTCCCTAATAACTATAAAAATAATAAAAAGGATATATGCAGTGTTATCTTCATTTTAGATATCAAAAGGGTTTTGTGGCTCCCAGTGTTTTGTTTTCGGTGGGAAACGGGTCCAAGTGGCTCTTTGAGTGTTTTTGGTTGCCTACCCCTGGTTTAGATAGTTATGGTTAATTAAGACAAAACCTAAATGAAATCAAGAGTAATTAGTAGGGTAAAGCAGGGTTTCCAAGCCTCAGTAACTTTTAAGATGGCTGAACTTCAACTCGCAGAATTCCCATTCAGACGTTTAAAAAGAACGCCCTGCCTGTTTGAGTTCATTAGCCCTTGAATTTTGATCATGTGACCACAGGAACAGCTGTCAGTCAAAAACTACCTGTTCAGTACAGTTGCCAAGAAAACTAACGGGACATATTGATAAAGTTTCCAGTGTTGGGCTATATTAGAGTAGAACATGATTTGCGTCGAGGCAAACATCCAAATTTCCGCAGTGTGTGGATGGGAAATGGAAGGAAGAGTAACTCAGAGCTTAATTAAACCATTTACACATCATACAGCAGCTGTAGAAAAAGTGGATTGCCCCCCTCAGGCATCATTAGCGAAGAAGCCCAAAATAAAACAGCTGATATCATCAAGTTTTTATGCAAGACTAGAAGTAGAATTGGAGCATTGCTACAGATCTGCTCAAGTAGGTTGGCTTAGGGCAATGGTTCTCAACCTTTCTAATGCCGCGAACCCATAATACAGTTCCCCATGTTGTGGTGACCCCCAACCACTTATACATCACTGGGTGCCAGGGGCGTGGCCAAAGAAAAGGGGGAAAAATGGCGGACAGCCTTGTTTGCCGACCCCCGTGAAACGGTCGTTCGACCCCAAATGGGGTCCCGACCCACAGGTTGAGAACCACTGGCTTAGGGTTAAAGGCAATGAAAATGTGTGGGAGATCAACTGCACAAAGAAACGTTACAAAGTTTGGTGTAGTAATTAATGGTGCCATGGCTCAGCGGTTAAAGATGCTGAGCTTGTCAGCTGCAGAGCTGACAGCCCGGGTTTCGAGATCCGAGTGCCAGGTGACAGACTGAGCTCCTGTTACTTGCTCAGTTCCTACCCACCTAGCAGTTCCTTCCTTCCTTCCTTCCTTCCTTCCTTCCTTCCTTCCTTCCTTCCTTCCTTCCTTCCTTCCTTCCTTCCTTCCTTCCCTCCCTCCCTCCCTCCCTCCCTCCTTCCTTCCTGCCTGTGGTGGGATTCAGCTGGTTCCCACCCCTTTGGCAGAACCAGTAGCTAATTTTTTTTGCTGCCTAGGCCCAGAACAGACTTCCGGAAGCGGCATCCACACAGAGAACCGGTTGTTCCCCTATTTGAATCCCACCACTGAAACTGAGGCCAGAAAGGTCGTAAAACGGGGCAAAACAAGAAGCAACGGATGGAAACTAACCAAAGAGAGAAGCAACCTAGAACTAAGGAGAAATTTCCTGACAGTTAGAACAATCAACCAGTGGAACAACCTGCCTCCAGAAGTGGTGAATGCTCCAACACTGGAAGTTTTTAAGAAGAGACTGGACAGCCATTTGTCTGAAATGGTCTAGGATTTCCTGCCTGAGCAGGGGGTTGGACTAGATGACCTCCAAGGTCCCTTCCAACTTTATTATTATTGTTGTTGTTGTTAAAACTCACTGAGCAAACAGTCTCACTTAACCACAGAAACCTTGGGCTCCGTTGCGTCGTACGTCGAGCACCGTGTATTTCTATTCTATCCCCCAGAGCCTCCGACGCCTGAGCTAGGCATAAAAGCCCGAACAAGGGAGGGATGGAGATTTTCCAACTAGCAAGATGCCTCTCTGGAGAAAGACCCATCTGACACATGGCGAGCCATGGCATCTGCCGTGATGTATAGGGAGGCCTTGGGGAAGGTGAATGTAATTTACTGCAGGGGTGCCAAAGGTGCGGTGTGTAACTGAAAAATCAAGGCATCGATCAGCAATTCATTAGGCCTCTTAATGACAGATTCCTAGATAGAGGCACAGATCGGAGGAGGCTTGGCTTGACCCAGTCTGCACCAGAGAGACAGGGCGCCTTCTGCCTTGAAAGTCCATCCTCTCTCCTGCTCTGGAGCCAGCTTTGAGCCGTGATTAATTAGGATGGAGAGTGGAAGTGGAGGTGGCCAAATTGGCTAGCCCAGCGCCCTAGAGAGCACCCTTTGTTGAAAGACCGTGTCAGGCGGTTTATTAAAGCCCAGGGAAGAATTAAGATCCAGAACGTGGAAATAACCACGAGGAGGAGAACGTCTTAACTTCTGGGGAACATCTCCGAGGATTTGGGCGGCATTTTCAGAGCACGTGGAGAAGCGGCCTTTGAACAGTTTCTTGGCACTGGTCACGCACGACGCTGAGCAATGCAGGAGGTTCTCGACTTACGACCGCAACGGAGCCTAAACTTTCTGTGGCAAAGCGAGACAGTGGTTGAGTTGAGTTTGGCCCCATTTCCTTGCCACGCTTGTTTTTTTTTTATTGAAAATTTTTGAAATTTGACAAAAACAACCCTGCCCAACCCTCCCCAACCCTCCCATTCCCTCCCCCAACCTTCCCAGAGCTGAATATAGGCTTAATTGAAATTTCTTCAAAAAATCTTTAAAAAAATTATAAACCATAAATAAGTCTAAATACATTACTTAAACAACTTATAAAATGATTAACAATAATCTATGTGTAAAAAAACATAAATATTAAGAAAGAAAAAAAAATGCTTAGAAAGAAGAAAAAAAATAAAAAAAAGAGAGGAAAAAAGAGAAGAAATATAAAACCTTGCCACGCTTGTTAAGTGGATCGCTGCAGTGGTCAAGGTAGAAACACGGGTTGTTAAGTGAATCTGGCTTCCCCATGGACTTTGCTCGCCAGAAGGTCGCAAAAGGGGAACGCGTCATAAATATGAGTCAGTTGCCAAGTATCTGAATTTGGATCATGTGACCGTGGAGACGCTGCAATGGTTGTAAAGTGTGAAAAACGGTCATAACTTACTTTTTTCAGTACCGTTGTAACTCCGAATGATCACTAAATGAAGCCTGATTCTGCACAATCAATAATAATAATAATAATAATAATAATAATAATAATAATAAAGTTGGAAGGGACCTTGGAGGTCATCTAGTCCAACCCCCTGCTCAGGCAGGAAACCCTACAACATTTCGGACAAATGGCTGTCCAGTCTCTTCTTAAAAACTTCCTGTGTTGGGGCATTCACCACTTCTGGAGGCAGGTTGTTCCACTGGTTAATTGTTCTTCAGGAAGTTTCTCCTTAGTTCTAGGTTGCTTCTCTCCTTGATTAGTTTCCATCCGTTACTTCTTTTTTTTTTTATTGAAAAGTTTTATAAAAATTGCAGTATATACCCCAAAATCTACCCACCCTAAACCCCCCCTCTCCCTCCCCCACTTCCCAGAGCTGAGTACAGGGTTACAAATATAATAATCAAACTCTAACTAACATTAAGCAACTATATAAATAACCAAGTCCATAATGCGCTTTAACTCCCCTTTAACATAAGTATAAACAAATTAAAATAAACATAATATAAATAAGTCAATATTATTAAACAATACAATATCCAAATTGTTAAACAATACCAATACTAAAAATAATAATAAAACTAATAAAAATTCAATTATAATAAACTATTAATAATAATAATACTTTAAAATTTACTCATAAATGGAACTTTTTAGTCCCATATTTATTCTGAATATAATCTATCCATCTTCTCCAGACTGCAATGTATCTTTCTTGTGAATGATCCTTCAAGTAAGCAGAAATTTTCGCCATTTCTGCTAAATTTGACACTTTAAGCGTCCATTCTTCTAAGCGTCCGTTACTTCTTGTCCTGCCTTCAGGCACTTTGGAGAATACCTTGACTCACTCTTCTTTGGGGCAGCCCCTGAGATATTGGGACGCTGCTATCATGTCCCCCCTCGTCCTTCTCTTTGTTAAACTTGACATACCCAATTCAACCAAGGAGCGGAGTTTGTTCCCTGAACAAAGATACAGAGAAAGCATTGATGATGTTTCCTAGTTGGGTAATGAAATGTCTGGAAGAAAACAACCAAGCTCAAACAGCATTAAGGACCCCACAGTCTTCCTCCTCTCCTCCCCTCCTCATTCCTCACTCCACAAACCCCACTCCCTTCTAGCACTGATGATGTTACCTAGCTGGGTAATGAAATGTCTATAAGAAAACAACCAACCGAGGTGGCGCAGCAGTTAGAGTGTAGTACTGCAGGCCACTTTAGCTGACTGTGTTCAGCAGGTCAGCGGTTCAAATCTCACCGGCTCAAGGTTGACTCAGCCTTCCATCCTTCCGAGGTAGATAAAATGAGGACTCAGATTGTTGGGGGCAATGTAAATATATATATATATACATTGCTTACTGGTGTACACCGCTTAGAGAGTGCTTGCACTTAAAGTGGTATATAAGTCTCATAAATAAATAAAATAAGCTCAGAGAGCTCCAAGGACATCATAGTCCTCCTCCCCTCCTGCTCCTCCTCTTCCACTCCACTAACCCCTTGGTTGTTTCTCTTCTAGCACTGATGACGTTCCCTAGTTGGGTCGCGAAACGTCTGCAAGGAAACCACCCAGCTCAGAGAACACCAAGGACCCCACAGTTCATCCTGAGCTACAAATATTCTCTCCTACTAAAAACTTATATTCTATAAAAGTATTGGGCAGGCTAAAGCAAGCAGGAGAACCTAAACAAAAGTCTTTCTATATGGAATAATAGGATTTTTAAAAAGATAAATGAAGGACGACTAGCTCGTTAGAACTTGTGACCTGCAATCAGTTCATTCTTTTTTTTTTTTTCACTGACAGGTTTTGCTTTCCCGGATTGGGCCTATAAACCGGAGTCCAGTCCCGGTTCCCGTCAGATCCAGCTCTGGCACTTTATCCTGGAGTTGCTGCAGAAGGAAGAATACCAGAATGTCATCGCCTGGCAAGGAGACTACGGCGAGTTTGTCATCAAGGATCCCGACGAAGTGGCCCGGCTCTGGGGTATTCGTAAATGCAAGCCCCATATGAACTACGACAAGCTGAGCCGGGCTTTAAGGTGAGAGATGGAGAAGACACCGATTTGGGCTCATTTTAGCCTCTGGGGTCGAAGGGAAGTGGGTCCACTGTTTCTCAGCCTTGTGGCAACTTTAAGAGCCTGCCTCCAGAAGCGGTGAATGCTCCAACACTGGACGTTTTTAAGAAGAGACGGGACAGCCATTGGTCTGAAATGAGATAGGGTTTCCTGCCCGAGCAGGGGGTTGGACTAGATGACCTCCAAGGTCCCTTCCAACTTTATTATTATTAACGTTTTGGCAGGCTGAAGAGCTGGAGAGGGAGCCGGCGCTTCAGGCTAATTGGAGAATGGAGTCGTGGACTTCAATTCCCAGAATTCTCCAGGCAGCATAGAATTCTGGGAGTCGGTCCACAGATTTATTTATTTATTTATTTATGAGACTTATATACCGCTTTAAGTGCAAGCACTCTCAGATCTTAAAGTTGCTACAGTTGAGAAACACCGTTCTTAGGTGAGGAAGGGTACGAAAGCTTGAGGGTAGGTCTTCAGCGTTCCCATCTAGGCTGCATTACAAACTTGCACCCAATTCTCATTAACAGTGGGAATTAGGATTGTCCAAGGCTTGAAGTGCACCTAGGGTTTTTTTTTTGGGAGGGGGGGAACTCATGTGTTGATTAAAGCAGTAATTTGCTTTAACAACTGTGGCAAGAATTGGGGCAAAACTCACTTAACAGCTAACTCGCTTAGCGACGAAAATCTAGCGCTCGATTGTGGTCGTAAGTCAAGGATCACCTGTAATGGGGTTATGATCTTGTTTGAGTTCAAAACTTCCGGTCATACAGAGCTGCTGTTCACACAGTATGTATTAAGCATATGACCAGGGGAAGAATAACAGAATGATTTAATTTATCCCAAACTGCACACCATTCCCGAAGAAAACACCTGTGGAGAATGTCCTGTGTTTCAAGATTTGTATGAGCAAACTCAAACTTATTAAAACCACATTCAGCATTTTAACGCAGCATGAAAAATATAATTATTTACATGGTTTGAGGCTCTCTTTTTGGAGATAAAAATACAGCTAAGGAGAGCAATCGGGAAGTGATACGATTTAAGTTTGCCTTGCCTTTAAATTTGCTTCTATAAAAAAAGGAAGTTAGCAAGAAAAGTTAGGATAATAATAACCTATTAACTTGTACGCTGTATCTCAACTATTCTGTGCAGCTTACAACAATCACAGAAAGAAATTGGAAGAATGTAGCTACGTTGCTTTGAGCACCCAAAAATGGACTATATTAACGCCAACTTCCAGTGCCTGAATGTTTGACCGGTTATTTAAAAAAAAAAAATAGTCTTTGAAAAGTGTTTTAACAAATGGACAGTCATTCATTTTCCAGCATAAGGACTCAAAAAAAGTTTAGACAGTGACTGCCATCTTCAAAAGAGGAATTCTCTCTGTATGAAGGATGATCTGTTGCATTTTAAAGGGGTTTGCATAAAGGCTCGTTCATCATCTAACTCCAAAGAAGCCATAGAACCATTATTATTTTTTGCTTCGGAGAACGGCTGGCGTATTTATAAGCACTCTTGATTAATTAAGTGGCCTACCAAAACTCTTATGATTAATTAGCAAAACTTCCGTGATGTAGCAGCAACCCTATTAAATATTACGGTTACCTGTAATATCAGTTTATCATCCTGTCATGTCATGAACGGTACATTCCTTTTCAGGTTTCAGAAAAAACCTCAAAACCCTCGACTTTCTTCCACCTCTTCAAAGTGCACGATAAAACCCACAAGTGCTCCACGGTTACCTTCTCCGTAATTGATCGACAGCAATATTTGTTATCGCCTATTAATTAACTGCATTTCTCTGGCCACTCGAGATTCCTCTTTCCTAATTAATATTTATGAGGAGCTAAACGCTATTGACACTTCCTATTAACTCAGCCAGGGAATTCAGCAGCGGCTTTGCCCAGTAAATAAATTTTGAAGACGGCCCTGGTAACCGCACGGGAGAAACTCAAAAGAAATGGATTGCCAGCACAGACTTAAAGGGAACATGGGGGCAATACGCTACATGGCCTGCTAGGGGGCGCTTTATTTGAAATTGTGTTGATTTCTCCAACTACACACCATTAGGGGGCACTGCACTTCAAGAAGGAAAGTGTGATTTCATCTCCTTTCCAAAAGAATGCGAAACAGGTCTATTTAGTTCAGTGGTTCTCAACCTTTTTAATGCCGCGACCCCCAACCGGTCGTAAGTCAAGGACTACTCAACCGGTCGTAAGTCGAGGACTACTCAACCGGTCGTAAGTCGAGGACTACTCAACCGGTCGTAAATCGAGGACTACTCAACTGGTGCAGCACCGTTTGCAGAATGGGACTTTTGGCGGGCTCAGCAGGGCAAAGACAGCCTGGACAATTCCTATTGGCTTTTAAAAGCCAATAGAATTAGACTCTATTCAAGAGAGTCTATTCTATTGGCTTTCAAAAGCCAATAGAATAAAAGGGAGTAGCACAGCTAAGGAAAAGGGGGAAAAAAATGGCGGACTGCGTTGTTTGGCGACCCCCGTGAAATGGGGGTCCCGACCCACAGATTGAGAACCACTGATTTAGTTGGTATTTTCCCCCACAAGGCTAAATCATTGCTGAAATTTTTAAAAAAAGGATCTAAAAGGTTCTACAGTTGGTTTAGCTATAATCTCTATAGAATTTAAATAGAGAATTCTATGTGAGTTTTTTTTTAAAAAAGCAGCTTGCCTACCACTGTTACATATGTGCAAATAAGAATCGAATCGTTTTAAGTCAATGCAGTGCTTTGGTGATTGATATTAGAAAAAAGATTTTTTAATCTTTTGGATTTTGCCTTCTTCTGCCCCAAACTCTTAGCCTGAATCAGGTTTCAATGATTTTTATTAGAGGATGAGAGAGAGGGAAGTGAATATGAGTCTCCCATCGCTCCACAAGGTGGAATACTCAACCAGCTTTAGAAGTGATTGTCAAGACTCCAGATCAATTGCCTCACACGTTTTGAAATCTGCTGTTGGACAACGCAGAATTAAGTACTACTACTACAACTTCTTCTTCTTCTTCTTCTTCTTCTTCTTCTTCTTCTTCTTCTTCTTCTTCTTCTTCTTCTTCTTCTTCTTCTTCTTCTTCTTCTTCTTCTTCTTCTTCTTCTTCTTCTTCTTCTTCTTCTTCTTCTTCTTTCCTCTTTCCTCTTTTCAGATAGTGGCTAACAAAAAGTTGAACATTTGGGGGTGTGACTGTGATTTGAGAACTTCTGTCTTCCTTTTGCACTCCTGATTAAATGCAGGATGGATGGTGCAAAATAAATGGAAGCCCACTGACTTATCCTGGCATGTAGTTTTAACTCCGGAACTGACCTGTTCTGAGGAAGCAGTTCCCATCTTGTGCCTCCATGATGTATAACATATCCTGCTATTCTTTTTAGAATGAGGAATTTAGATCTGTCCACCAACTGATAGCTTGGCTTCTCCACTCTTTTCCGCAGATATTACTACAACAAGCGGATCCTCCATAAGACCAAGGGAAAACGCTTCACCTACAAGTTTAACTTCAGCAAAGTGGTCTTGGTTAATTACCCACTCCTGGACATGGCTGCCAACTCCCCGTTTCTTCTCACTCAGAATCCTTTCAACGGGAGCAACCACGGGGCTGACTGCACCCCGCTGACCCCCGAGGTATGACAAGCAAGGGAGAGAACAGAGCTAGGATGTAACGGTATGTGCGAAAGACCTTGGGAGGTGGGGAGGAGGTGGGGAGAGATGCGGCCTAGGGCAGGGCTCTCCAGTCTTGGCAACCTTAAGACTCGTGGACTTCAGCTGAGGAATTCTGGGAGTTGAAGTCTACAAGTCTTAAAGTTGCCAAGGTTGAAGATCCTGGCCTAGGGCAGGGGTAGGCAACCTTGGCTCTTTTATAACTGGTGGACTTCAGCTCCCAGAATTCCTGAGCCAGCATGGCTCAGCTTGGAAACCTCTCCCTTTCCCCTCAGCATGGCTGGCTCAGGAATTCTGGGAGTTGAAGTTCATCAGTCATAAAGCAGCCTAGGCCTAGGGCAGGGGTGGGCAACCTTGGCTCTTTTATGACTGGTGGACTTCAACTCCCAGAATTCCTGAGCCAGCATGGGGGAAACTATGGCCCCCTCATGACTCGTGGACTTCAACTCCCAGAATTCCTGAGCCAGCATGGCTCAGCATGGAAACCTTTCCCTTCAGCATGGCTGGCTCAGGAATTCTCAGTCCACGAGTAATAAAAGAGCCAAGGTTGCCTATCCCTGCCTTAATGCGTCTTTTGGAGCAAAAATTAATATAATACCTGGTCTTATTTTCGGGCAAACACAGGGTATAAGCCAGGATAGGCAACCTTGGCTCTTTTATGACTGGTGGACTTCAACTCCCAGAATTCCTGAGCCAGCCTGGCTCAGCATGGAAACCTCTCCCTTTCCCCTCAGCATGGCTGGCTCAGGAATTCTGGGAGTTGAAGTCCACGAGTCATAAAAGAGCCAACGCTGCCTACCCCTGGCCTGGGGAATGTCAGAGAAGGCACAGTCTGCGGCTGCATAATGAGCAGAGAGGGACACAGAAAGGATCCCATCTAATTTCTCAGCTTATAAAAGAGATCAGACAGGAGATTTGTCCTATCAGACTTACACAACCAGATTTGCTAATTCTACTTTATTGTAAGATTACCTTAACTGAATCTAATGACCATGGGATTACTTAATAACTGCAGCGGTCAGTTGAACAACCAGGGCGGAATAGCCTTGTAAAACCAGCCACGCCTCCCTTAACAACCACTTTGCTCAGCAAGGGAAATTCTGACCCCAGTTGTGATCCTAACTCAAGGATCACCAGGGCTAATTTTCAAGTGAAGTAGACTTGGTGCTTGGTGTTGGACCAAGGTGACCAACACGGTCCTCTCACTGCCGCCAATCCTGCCCTCTCCGCTTTGCTGAGATCTCTCACCTGCTGGATTTGCCCTCTGCAGGCCTTGCAAAGTCTCTTCTCAAGCCCTCGCTTGGGGGATCCCTCCAGCCGCACCCCACTCTTTGAACGTCAGCCAGAACCAGAGAAACTGAGGCTGGATGCAGCCTTCCCATTCTTGGGATCAGGTGAGTGTGTGTCTGGGTGAGTGTAGGCTGGAGAGCCAAGGGGCTAAAGGCTTAAATTTAAAGGCATCTTCCTTCCTTTCCTTCCTTCCTTCCTTCCTTCCTTCCTTCCTTCCTTCCTTCCTTTCCTTCCTTCCTTCTTTCCTTCCTTCCTTCCTTTCCTTCCTTCTTTCCTTCCTTTCCTTCCTTCTTTCCTTCCTTCCTTCCTTCCTTTCCTTCCTTCCTTTCCTTTCCTTCCTTCTTTCCTTCCTTCCTTCCTTTCCTTCCTTCTTTCCTTCCTTCCTTTCCTTCCTTCCTCCCTCCCTCCCTCCCTTTCTTTCATTTCTTTTTCCTTCCTTCCTTCCTCCCTCCCTCCCTCCCTCCCTCCCTTTTTTATATCCTGCCTGTCTTTATTATTTTTTACAAACAACTCAAGGTGGCAAAGTTATTCAACACAACTTCCGCCTCCAATTTTCGCCACAACAACCCTGTGAGGTGGGTTGGGCTCAGAGAGAGGGACTGGCCCAAAGTCACCTAGCTGGCGTTCATGCCTAAGGTGGGACTAGAACTCCCAGATTCTTTTTCATTGGCCCAAAGTCAGCTAACTGGCTTTCAGGCCTAAGACAGGCTAGAACTCCCTATCTCCTGCTGATGGGTCCAAAGTCACCCAACTAACTTTCATGGCTAAGGTGGGACTAGAACTCCCAGATTCCTCTTCATTGGCCCAGGTAACTGGCTTTCAGGCCTAAGACAGGCTAGAACTCCCTATCTCCTGCTGATGGGTCCAAAGTCACCCAACTAACTTTCATGGCTAAGGTGGGACTAGAACTCCCAGATTCCTCTTCATTGGCCCAGGTAACTGGCTTTCAGGCCTAAGACAGGCTAGAACTCCCTATCTCCTGCTGGTGGGTCCAAAGTCACCCAATTAACTTTCACGGCTAAGGTGGGAGTAGAACTCACAGTCTCTGGGTTTCTAGTCTAGTGCCTTGACCAGGAGACCAAACTGGCTTTCAAAAGATATGGATATTATATTGGAAATGAGAAATATCTCAAACACGTTTATCCAATTCTTGGTCTCCGCAGTGAGGGGGTGTCTGCTCACCTCTCTTTCCTTCTCCCCACAGGTATGGCTGGGTACACCAAGCCTCCCAGTTTGCTGACTCCATATGGCCGGAATACCTTTCCCGAATATCCGTGGAATTTTAACCCTTACCTGTCCAGCACTTTCCCTCTGAACAGCTCCAAGCTACCCACCTCTCTGTATTCCCCTCACTTCTACCCCAACCCTTTGTCTGGCTCCCTGGCCCAGCTCCCCACACCCATCTCCCTCCTGCCCAGCGAAAACCCCGAGAGAACGGCCGCCCTGGGGGGCAGCTCTGTGCCCCGTCTCTGCCTCCCGCCCCATAGCACAACTCTGCCCCTTCGCGGGGATGTCCACGGACCGAGCGCTCGCAATAAGGAACTGCTGGGCACCAGGCCGCCCAGCCCTTCGGGGGGTCGAGGGGCTAAAGAGGACACCGCGTCCGATTCCGAGTTGGAAATTACAGATTTGAGTGAATGCAGTTCGGAAAATGAAGGGGGCGACTTTAGCCCCGCCAGTCTGGAGACGTTAGAGAGCCAGGTGCCAAATTACAAGCGGCTGGAGCGCGAGCGGACGGCCAGAGCGAGGCCTGGTCAGCTCGATGGGGAGGTGGGAGTCGGCCTGGCCCTGATCAAGCAGAGGAAGCCTGTGGCGAGCAGTTGAAACCGAGCCCCCCCAAAAGCTTGATGGCCGGTGCTTCTCTCTGGTCCCGATTCGAAATCAAGGTTAAAAGAAACAAAACAACACACGCCCACCCCTCTCTGTTCGTTTGATGTCTATTTTTATAGGAAAGTTCTATTCAAGGAATATACTGAGTCTAATCCCACGTCCTGCCCCCAATTCCCCATACAATCACCCCTTCTCTAAGTCCTTCAGGGGAGGCTGGGATTCTCTCCTGCTCAAAAGGATCAATGATGCCAAGACAAAAAAAAAAAGACCGTCTCTTGGAGATGAGGCTGGTTGATGGTGGTGGTGGTGGTGGTTGAAAAGACAGACCCAGATCCCACCTGCCTGGCTGACCGATCTGAGTTTCCTGGTCACACATTTCCCTCCTTCCCTCTCAAATTTATTTCCTCCGAGAAGCTACTATCCGTTCAAAGCCCTGTTGCCACCACCGTCCACCCCAGATCTTCTCCACCATTGACCTCCATGCTCATGGGCTGGCCAGTTCCACAACAGCTAAAAACGTTTCAAGGAAATCCTTCTCCTAAGGGTGAAATGTGCAATAGCTTTTTTTTTTTTTTAAAGACCTGTAGAGAGAACCAGTTTACTTGGTTCTGGTGGCCGAGGGAGAACCCCCAAAGTAGCTTCAGCCAGCTCGGTCCACCGGCCCCAAATCAGGCATCTACCAGAAGTGAATAGAGATCAACATTGCCCAAGGTAGTAGCACAGTGGCGGCGAACCTATGGCACGCGTGCCAGAGGCGGCACTCAGAGCCCTCTCTGTGGGCACGCGAGCTGTTGCCAGAGTTTGCCAGAGTAGCGAGCACGTGGCGTTTGGAAGCGACAGGGCAGGAAGTGAGTGAGCAAGCAGTGTTTGGCCCCCGGGGAGGCCCCCGAGATGGCGAGGGACTGGCCCCGGCCATGCTCACCCAGTCTGCCATGACCATTGCAGCCACGCCCACCCAGTGCGCCATGCCCCCCCCAAGGGCACCACAATGCTGATGCAGCCCTGGCATTTTGCGATAAATAAGTGGGTTTGGGGTTGCAGTTTGGGCACTCGGTCTCTAAAAGGTTCGCCATCACTGTCCTAGCAGGACCTTTTCCCGACTAACCACGTTGATTTAAAATGCGATGCCTTGGTTGCCCACATCGATGTGACATGGCTCTCCTCCTATTGAATTCGTCAAAATCTCTTCCAGAGAACTTTGTTGAAGTGCAGAGAGAATTTGCTGGCAAAAAGTATGCCCAGGGGTGGCTTAACTCCGTTTTCCGCCCTTGCAGGTGGTCCTTACAGAAATTTAAGAAAGGTAGCAGTTCTCTTGGTCCCAGCCAGAGGCTTAAAGGCTGTCCCGTTTTGAAAATTTGCTACTTCCTGTCCTTCAAAGGATCAGCTGCTGGAACACCTATTGAGGTTTATAAATCAGGATTCAAGTACAGGAAATCCTCAACTTTTTGACGACCTCAGTTGGGAATTTCTGATGCTAAGCAAAGCAGTTAAGTGAGCCACACCCGATTTTTCCTCTTCCCCCCCCTCCCAAGGCTGTTAAGTGAATCCTTGCGGTTAGGTGACTCATGCGGTCATTAAATGAATCTAATGTCCTCGTCAGAGATCAGCTGGGAAGGTTGCAAATGGCGATCACACGAGCCCAGATGCTGCAACCCTCATGAATAGGTGTCGGTTGCCAACTGTCTAAATTTTGACTGCGTGACCGTGGGGATGCTGTGATGGTCCTGTGTGTGAGGACCAATAATCATTAAGTTGCTTTTTTTCGGCTCCATTTCCAACTTCCAACGGTCACTAAAGGAATGGGCGTAAGTCGGGGATTATCTCTATGGGCTCCCAAATACCAATTGTTGCTGGGAAGAAGTGTTCTTTACATTTTACATTTTTTCAGAGCGCAACTAAGTTGTTGCATGGCAGTGTGGCCTCTTTAGGAAGTGTACCTCTTCGAGTAACATCTGGAGATGACACCGAATGGCCCTAAGGAAGCGATGAGCTTGGTTAATGGCCAGAAACAGCTGGCTAATCCAGCTGCACTTCAGAAGCAGGACACTGGAATTTGAGGAAGAATTTGGGCCAGTTGATTGCTTTATTATTCCATATCCCCATCCTGAGCTTTTTGAAGTGCAATATTGTCTTGTCTATTCTGGTGTGACCTTTCTGTAAACATACCCCACCCCACCCCTCACCCCCACTTCTCCAAAGTGAGCAAACACACGTTTCACCCCATCGCTGTGCTTGTGACTCCGTGTTTTAAACAAGAGAAACGAAACTGTACTTGTGTGGTGGATATGAAGAAGTTGTGACAAGTCCCATTCCTCCTCTTCCTTTCTTTTCTTTTTTGTAAATATTGCATTAATTTATGGAGTGTAAAAAACAAAACAAAAAACAAGAGATGGAAAATTTTACGCCAGCTGCTCCCGCTGGCCTCAAAAGCAATAAAATATCTATTCGCTGCATCCTCTCTGCTCACAGGTTAAAGGCAGTAAAGGCAGGACAGGTGTGTGTGTGTGTGTGTGTGTGTGTGTGTGTGTGTGTGTGAGAGAGAGAGAGAGAGAGAGAGAGAGAGAGAGAGAGAGAGAAAGAGAATGTCTCAAAGAATTTATATTTCTTTCTCTAAAGAGCAAATAAATTGACAACACTGAGCATCAGAAGGTCCCATTCAGTTCAATGGCACCTATTTTCCCACAGCTAAAGACACACACACACACACACACTTCCAGAATTTCAGCACTGCAATTGTCCTTGGATTGAGCTAATTAGCAGAATAATCACTGAAAATCTAGCATTATGAGGGTAACGGGAGGAATCTTAATCTCGCCAAAGGAGGGAGCGATTCTAATTGCATCTTGTTCTTCTGGAACAGAATTCCAAGCTGCTTGGATACGTTTTATTTTATGCAAAGAATGCTGGGAAATGTAGTTACAGGAGTTGCTGAAAAGTCTGTTAAGGACCAGAAACAGAGACTACTTCCCCCCCCCTCCTGCTTTGCTTCTTTCTTCTTTTTCTGTTTCCTTCTCCTCCTCCTCTTCTCCTCCTCTTCTCCATCTCCTCCTCCACTACACTACCAGACATTCAGTTCCCAGAAGGGTTAGACATGGTTTAAATACCCAGAAAGGGCCCTGTTCCTTTCCCCTCGTCTCCTTGGAGAGCCATGACAACAAGGCAAGATATTGGTTTAAAATCCACGTATTAACAGAGACCCCTGCCCATGGACTTTCCCACTGAACCTATTGAGAGGCAGAACAGCCTACAAGGATCTTAGCTTGTTTAGCTTTTCAAAATGAAGGCCATTTCAGGCTGGAGACCACAAGAGGTGAAGACTAGGGGCAATCCTACCATCACCGCTCCAAAGAGGTATGATTGGGCAACCAAAAATCAAGAAGTAAATAACCAAATACATGAGAAGCACAAAGGAAATGGAAAGATAAGGTTTATTTATATATATATATATATATATATATATATATATATATATATATATATATATATGAATATTATTCATATATATCTTTTTTTACACGATTGTCTTTGGTTTACTCACTGCTCACTTTCATCCATCTTTACCCCTTTTGCAATGTACGTTTAAGACTTTCAAATCTTTTCTACTTTAGGTAGTGGAGTATAACCTCCAGAATTCCTAAACATTTTGCTAGAAGGAATTCTGGAAATGGTAGGTCCAGCAGATCTAGCGAGGCTCAGATTAAGGAAGCCGATTAAAAGGATGGGATGCAAGCAAACAGGAGTCTCGACCCCTACGCTCTTAAGGAAGAACAGGAAATGTTGCAATATCCCATAATACCCACCCTTTTTTTTCACCCCATCATTAAACAGATGACAAAATTAAGAGGACCCCCCCCCCTTTCTACCACTCCTATGATGCTTTTCTATCAAAAACTGCCCGTCTACTTTCTGCTTTATGTGGGAACTGAAATCCAACATTAAAACATTCAACGGAGCATAACCTACCATGGTGCCATTATGAAAGCATTCTCAAGACTGTTTGCCATAAAACTCCAGGAAAAAGTAGGAAAAAGTGCCACTTGCCCAGAGTGGGGTTTAAAGAACAAAAACTGCATTTAGAGAAACATTTCCCAGGTCAGAATATCTCAAACACAAATAGAAAAAGAGATTGATATAGAATTGAGAGAATGGGTACAAATAAATATTTAAGAATCTTTATGCTGCCTGGCTCGGCTTGGAAAAAGAGTAACAGTCTAAATATTTTGGTCCCCAATGGTATTTACAATTTTAAAATTCCCGTTATTTTTGGGTGGACGTGTGATAGAGCAAAAGAAAGCCATGGCAAATTATTGAACCAGGTTAAAATATCCCAGCGTCAAGATTCTCAGGAAGTTACGAGCTAATGCATGGGGTAGCAAGTAAAATATAGCTAAAATAGCCCATCCCTATAATAAGGATCTTCATTAATATAATGTATATTTATCACCAAACCACTGGATTATGCACTTAGGTTAAGAATATTGAATTTGGCAAATGGATGATTTCAAATCACTGGTTTAAGCTTCGAAATTCCCAAGAATTTGGAATTGGGGACTGTGATCCAGCCACCAAGTGAGCAGATTAAAAAATAAAAGTTATGCACCAAATGTGCCCTGCCAGGAATCCGGAATGTGTGTGCTAACCCCAACATTTTTCTCCACTTTGATCAAACCTGGGAAACAGCTTTTTGTGTCTCTTTTGGGGCTTAAAATATAAAGTGATGTTCTGATCACATCATGTTTTCTTCTGATAGAGCTATGCAAGAAACGCAGGGCAGGCCACAGCCTGTTTATAAAAATGGAAAAGAAAAATGTATTCTCCTTTAATTTCTGCCTGGAAAAAAAAAAAGAGCGGAGAGCCAGAAACATACTGTCCGTAGATTAAAAAAAAAAGAGTTCTAGGGACGATCTTGAGAATATTTCTTAACACTGCAAAGGCGTCAGTTGTGAAAACACGTCTTTTAGGACCAACATCCTCTTCTCCACCCCTTTAACATTATATACTTCATAATACTGGGAGGTCACAGAAAAAAAGTCTCACTGAATATATTGGTTTACACGCTTTGTACAACAATAGATTTTTAAAAAAATAGACACAACTAAACATGATCTCGCTCTACATAAGACAGTCCTGGATTCCCCATCATTCCCTTAACATGGGGACTGTTTCCCAGCTAACAAAAAAAAAAAACCAAACAAGTTTTCTTAAAATACTAGCATATTATCAAAACAGTATAAAGACACTTGGAAGCAATTGAATAAAGATCTGTCTCTAAAATCGCTGGTGGATTGGCCCCCTCATCTCTATATTCCCTCTGTGGGGCAGACACCATCCCTTTTTTCCCTCCCACATCCAAACTTTTTTTTCTCACCTCTTGGCTAGATTCAGCTTCTTTCCCAGAAACTTTCCAGTATCCCCCCCCCCCATTAACCCATCACTTTCCATTCTGTCACCAGCAAGGCTTTTTTTTTTCCAAGAGAGAAAGGAAGCACTCTTGTGATTGCTTAACAACAGCTAATCCCTCCTAATTGGGAGGCAGAAAAAGCGAAACGAAGGGATTGGATGCTGTGTGGATATAGCAAAGCCAAATCCTCCCTGAATTTTTAAAACTCTTCTACTTCCTGGGACCAACTGTCACCAATGGCAGCTTACAGACTTATGCAACCGCTGCAGAGGGATTGAGCAAAGAGGTTGAGAAATTCTTCCAGGATTTTAATAACTCCTAGACCCTTTAGAAGCACCAAGAAGTAGCACCATGTGTGTATGCATGTGTGTGTGTGCGCGCGCACATACCTATACATTACACATACACACAGCTGTGGCACCACCTGCTGAACAGAGCGCAGAACAGCAGATCATCAAAAGCAGTGAGGTATCCGTGCATTGCATTATGTGAGGGTTCGAAAGAGGCCCGTATCTGCACTCCAAAAAGTGTGCTGCTTGTGTGTGGCTCGTGATTAACAACTTGTGGCACTATTGGCAGGCAAGGAAGAGCAGGGGAGGATGGCCCGAGGTCGAACGGAATGAGCGCTAAGTGCCGATTTTGGCAACAGGCTCACGGTCGGATCCGTGATTCAGAATGCACTTAGGATACATGATATTTGGACTCGGAGAAGAGAAATGGGGGGTGGTTTCCCTAGTGAAAAGATAATAGACGATTGAAGGGGGGGGAAACGGAAGGGGTATGTAAACAGGAAAGGTCTAATTGGAATGAAGCTTCAGGAATGGTTGACTTTTCATAGGAGGAATGTTTCCTTGCTCAGCACCCCAGCAAAAAGCTTTGAGGTGAGGGGATCCCTTGCATAGAGCCAAGGATTCAGGATGACGTTCCGTTCAGGGTGCAGGTATCCCCATTTGTACCCAAGGGAAGACTGGCAGCATGAGGCAAACTAGGCTTCTGGGAAGCATGTTGGTTGTTACCTTTTTCCCAGTGAGAAAATAATTCTCAGACTTCTAAAGGCACTGCCTTCAATTCTAGAACCATGCCAACTTGTCACCCAACCTTAAACACAGGACTCATTCTTTCTTGTCCTCTACTTCTCTTTGTATTTGGAATGTATATTCTTTAGAACTTTAGTCCAAGGGTCCATCGTTGGATCAACTGCCTTCCCTAACCTCGGAAGCCCTCAACATAAATGGAAACGACAATGTCCAGAAGTCCTCAGCTAACATGGCTTTTGGTTGGTCATTCAGGAAACAGTAGACCCAACATTACGAAGTATGGGGACTGGGAAGTTAGCCGTTCAGGACTGTGCTCTGGAGATGTGTCACAAAGAAAAGCACCCACCTAGGTTTTCACCTCTCTCCTTCTGTTTTGTAAGAATGTCACGCTTCTGGTGGTGATGGGTTTGGGTTGACCGGCTGGAGGAAAAACATGACGGGGCAGGAAGAATTGGGGACCTGATTAAATGAGTTCAGATAGTTATAAGACCAAGATTGGTAGAAGAATAGGAATGTCTGCAGGGTTTACCTATGTGTGTCTATGCAAGGATAAAATATTAACCTAAGAATATAAATTGGAGAGATTTCAGAATTGAGTTTGTTTCTCTTTCCTCTGGAAGCTTGGCTGCAATTGCATTTTTTTTTAACAAGAACAGTGATACATGTCTGGAAGTTAATACATGAATGGGTGAGTTACACCCCTGGGAGCTGAGGATAAACTTTTGAGGGAAGGCACAATAGCTACTAAGTGTTCTTAATTACACACCCTCTTTGAGGTATCTTGGGAGCCTCTTAGTAAACAGGCCATCGAATTATGAGCTCTGGTCTCAGGCACCTGAGTTCTTGGTTAGCCCAGCACCTCTTTTGGCCAACAGAGAAGATCATCAGATCCCAGTTTTGTAATATGTCACCCCTGAGAACCAGCACTGTAAACTATTCCCCTGGCTTAAAAGTGAAGCTGACCTAAGAAAGCATCTTTCTTTCTGACCTAGTGTGAACTTTCCTCTCCACACACCTGGACTTTTCAAAATAAGACGCTTCGACCTCTAAATCAGGGGTGTTCAACCTTGGCAACTTGGAAGACATGTGGATGTCAATGCCCTGAATTTCCCAGCCAGCATGGCTGGCTGGAGAATTCGGGGGGAGGGTGGGGGGTTAAGTCCACAGGACTTAAAAATTGTCAAAGTTGGATAGCCCTGCTCTAAATATTTCCCCTTATACTGTGATCTAGGCAGAAAATTCTATGTACAAAATCCACAGCATCGCTCCCTATACAAAACAAGCAGCAGCTTAAATCCCCGTGAGGCTGCCTCATGCTGGGAAAGAACTGGCTGGCAGGATAAACGGGTTGGCCCACAGCCTCTTCCTTCGTTTTTGAACAGACCTGGAAAAAAAAGAAGAACCACCGAGATAAGAAGGACAAGAAGCAACGGGTGGAAACTCATCAAGGAGAGAAGCAACCTAGAACTAAGGAGAAACTTCCTGACAGTGAGAACAATTAATCAGTGGAACAGTCTGCCTCCAGAAGTGGTGAATGCTCCAACACTGGAAGTTTTTAAGAAGAGACTGGACAGCCATTTGTCCGAAATGGTGTAGGGTTTCCTGCCTGAGCAGGGGGTTGGACTAGATGACCTCCAAGGTCCCTTCCAACTTTACTACTATTATTATATATGAAAGCCATTATCACTTAGAACAGCGGTTCTCAACCTGTGGGTCGAGACCCCATTTGGGGTCGAACGACCATTTCACGGGGGTCGCCAAACAACGCAGTCCGCCATTTTTTCCCCCCTTTCCTTAGCTGTGCTACTCCCTTTTATTCTATTGGCTTTTGAAAGCCAATAGAATAGACTCTCTTGAATAGAGTCTAATTCTATTGGCTTTCAAAAGCCAATAGGAATTGTCCAGGCTGTCTCTGCCCTGCTGAGCCCGCCAAAAGTCCCATTCTGCAAACGGTGCTGCACCAGTTGAGTAGTCCTCGACATACGACCGGTTGAGTAGTCCTCGACTTACAACCGGTTTTGGGGGACGCGGCATTAAAAAGTTTGAGAACCACTGACTTAGAACAGCAAAGAGATCAATCATTCGCATAGAAAAAACAGAAAGGGACATTTCTAAGCAACCCTTCCTCGAAGTTATGACCGTCACGCCCACACACCCCCCCCCCCGTGGTCACTGGGTGCTTGGCAACTGACTCACATTTACGACGGCTCCTGTGCTCACAGGATTGCAATGGGGGACCTTCCCAGCTGGCTTCTGACGAGAAAAGTCATGGGGGGGGGAGGGGAAGCTGGATTTGCTTAACGACCCCACATGATTCATTTAACCGTGTGCTTTGCTTAAAACCACAAAAACAACCCCCTTATTGACTGCAGTAAAAATGGGTCATAAAATCAGGTCTGGTTAAGTGACGACTCATTTAGGGACCACACTGCTTAGTGACCAAAATTCTGATCTCAACTATGGCTGTAACTCCCCAAAAGCAGGGATTCTGACACTCTTCACACACAGGGCCTTAGTTCCTCTGGACTGAAACTGGGGGCAAAAGTGTTTATTTCAAATGTCCAAACATCTGTCAGATGAACATCTGCCAGTTGTGACCAATCAGCCTCATCTATCATCCTTGATTGTTGTGGATCCCTGGGATGGGAAGGAAGCGGGATCAAAGACCCAAACGGCTGACATCTCAACCCTTGCCTGCTTTGCCCATTGCCTACCTTGCTTGGCCAAGTCTCATGTGGAACCAGGTTGCTGAGATGATGTAAACTTGCCCATCAGCTGCTGAAGCCTCCAGTATTCTGTTTCTATATCCTAGTAGGACAGACAGAGAGTGTCACACTAAGGGGAATCTGCAAGGAATATGGCCTGTTATTTGTTAGGGGCAAAGGATCAAGACCGTGCCTTGTTGTAATTCAAAGCTTTAATGCTCAAGCCGTACTCAAGAATCTACTGAAATAAAGTTCAATGTTAAATTGATAAGACAGATAAATTGATTCGCCAGATAAGACTCAATGGAATTCAAGAGGGACTTGGACCGTTTGCGACAACGTAAGGATTCTAGGCTGATGACTCATTTAACTCTATCCCCAGCTCTGCCTGCTCTTCTCCTACATTATCCATCTCGGTCCGTATGAAGTTTCAGTCTGCAGAAATAATTGTCTTGCTTTTCGTTTTCATCAAAAAGCTTCAAAACTCAAAGAGAACCATGGATGAAGATTGCAAAGTAGCCCTGGAGGTGCAGTAGTTAGAATGTAGTATTTGCAGGCTAACTCTGCCCAAAGTCTGGAGTTCAGTCCTCATGGACTCAAAGTTGACTCAGCCTTCTATCCTTCCAAGGCCGGTGAAATGAGGGCTCAGATTGTTGGGGGCAATATATTAACATTGTAAACCACTTAGAGAGTGCTGTGAAGCACTGTGGAGTGATATATAAATCTAAGTGCTATTGTTCTTGCTAAGAACATCGTCACCCTTGCACTCCGCCTCTAGGCCTTTCTTAGGTCACATTCCCACGCCTGCTTCCATCTTCTCCTGTCTCCACCAGGAACTTTCCAAATATTTTAATGTCTGGGAAAGCCAATTCCCTCAAGGAAAACGTGCCACCATCCATCGGGGGCCAGGTGATGACTCGGGAAGAAGGATGAGATGGAACTAGAGGAAAAATCCACGCTCACCTTCAGACCCTGAATGGCATCTTCTAGAAGCCTTAAGTGATGCTTCACCCCGTCAGATTGCTGGAGGGACAGAACGATGGGGAAACGGGGACTTTCCTTATCCAGATGCTCAGAACTCCACTCTGGATCTGGAGGGCCATTCAAAGAATTGGCTGTAGAGATAAAAAATTTTTTACAGCATAATGATTGAGGTAGTTCAAAATGGGCCCAAACTCACTTAACAACTGTCTAGATCAAGGCTTTTCAACCAGTGGTATGGGTACCACCTGTGGTACATTGGCACCTGGCAGGTGGTACACAAACATCCTAGAAAAGTGGCAGCGGGGGAGGGGAATGAGCTGAACCGGTGGCAGCACCGCACAAGCCTGAGCAAGAGATGGCTGGAGCTGCAGGGCTGAGCGGAAGCGCCAGGATCAGTGCCAGGCTCCAGCTGGAGCTCGGCGCTGATCCTGGCGCTTCTGCTGAGCCCAGAAGAAGCGCCGATCAGCTGGAATGTTGCAGCATCTCCAGGGTCTTGTGATTTACATTTAGATGCTTGGCAACTGATTCATATTTATGATGGTCACAGTGTCCCAGGGTCATGTGAAGGGACCACAACCTGCTGCAACCAACCAGCAGACGGGGGGAATAAAAACCAAACACCCCCCACCCCATCCCCGCTGCCAATTCTCAACAGAAATGCTCACAATGAAAACATCAGACAGGAGGAAGAGCATGGGTGGGCGGGCAGGCAGGTGTCTTGCTAGGCTGTGGCTTGGGGGGCACTTTTTTCAGTGCCATTGTAACTTCAAACAGTCACTAAGCGCACTGTTGTAAGTCGAGGACTACCTGCACTTCATCACTTTTTTCCGTTTTTTTTTTTGGTCATCAAGTTTTTGACACCTTGCTAGGCGACTGGTGGTCCTCGGATATTGCCATATCCTAAAAGTGGTACAAATGGGTGAAAAGGTTGAAAAGCCCTGCTCTAGATTAGGAATGGAGTGCAGTACTGCAGGCCACTTTAGCTGACTGTGTTCAGCAGGTCAGCGGTTCAAATCTCACCGGCTCAAGGTTGACTCAGCCTTCCATCCTTCCGAGGTAGGTAAAATTGAGGACCCAGATTGTTGGGGGCAATGTAAATATATATATATATATATATATATATATATATATATATATATATATATATATATATATATATACATACATACATACATACATATACATATACATATACATATACATATACATATACATATACATATACATATACATATACATATACATACATACATACATACATACATACATACATATATATATACATTGCTTACTGGTGTACATCTCTTAGAGCAGTGTTTCTCAACCTTGACAATTTTAAGGCATGTGGACTTCAACTCCCAGAATTCCATAGCCAGCATTGCTGGCTGTGGAATTCTGGGAGTTGAAGTCCACATGCCTTAAAATTGTCAAGGTTGAGAAACACTGGCTTAGAGAGTGCTTGCACTTAAAGCGGTATATAAGTCTCATAAATAAAATAAATAAATAAATAAATGGAAATTTTGGGCTTAATTGTGGTCGTAAGCCACGATGCTCACCTGGAAGCCTCCTGCTATTGTCTCCTTCCATCCTGAAAGTCCCGTCCCATTCCTCTTCTGCCTCCTGGGGGTCTCCATTCTCGGGAGAAAGATCTGTAGGTTCTGCAGGAAAAAGGGCCTCTCCTTCGTCTGGTATCTGAAGTAGCCTCTTGAGGGCCAAAACTGGAAGGAGACAAGATTGTCCCTTTACATCCTCTGTGGGCAGCAGAGACTTGCTCAGCAGAGAAGAAGGAAAAAAAAGGTATTTATTAAGTACCTCGGTCCTGGGCAGCAGAAGCTAGAGTGACCTGGCCAGGAGGTTGAGATCTGCAGAAAGTCTGTAGGTCAGCCACGAAGGCTTCCACCGCCTTGTCCATCTTTGCTCCACCAACAGGATTCCGGTCCTCAAACTCTGCGCCTTCCAGCACGCCATCTTTTTCTTGCTCTGAGTTGGGATAGCAAAAAACAAGACACAGTCGGATCCCCGCTGTTGTCTCTCAAACTCAGAGGGCAGTAAAAGCCGCGTAAACATTTCTTCAGCCCGTCCTCTAAGATATTGAGAGATTTGGTTCCAAGGTCGTATTGCAGAACCTCCAGATCAAGCTGAAAACTCGAATGATTAAATCGGGTGTTTATAAATCAATTCCAGATGACTCCCCAAAATACCTTTTCTAGAATCGACTCAGAAATCTAGCTCAGATCTACCTGTTCTGAATTTAAATCTGAAAGTGTAAATCAGGGGTGTCCAATCTTGGCTACTTTTCAAGAGCCGAGGTGGCGCAGCAGTTAGAGTGCAGTACTGCAGGCCACTTTAGCTGACTGTGTTCAGCAGGTCAGCGGTTCAAATCTCACCGGCTCAAGGTTGACTCAGCCTTCCATCCTTCTCTCTAAGCGGTGTACACCATTGCTTACTGGTGTACACCGCTTAGAGAGTGCTTGCACTTAAAGCGGTATATAAGTCTCATAAAATAAATAAAATAAACTTGTAGACTTCAACTCCCAGAATTCCCTAGCCAGCCTGGCTGGCTGAGCAATTCTGGGAGTTGAAGTCCACCAAGTCTTAAAAGTGGCCAAGGTTGGTCACCCCTGGTGTAAATCACACCATGCTGATTTTTCTGAAATGACAATCCCAACAGAGTGATTTTCATTGACGAGGTAAGAATTTAGGTTATCTGCCCCATCTTCTCCTTTTTCCCTCCTCCAACCTTCCTCCTTACCCTCTGACTGCAGTGCCTCCTTAAGGGGGCTGCCGTTTTCTGCTCCACCCAAAAGGGTCTCTGAGTAGCTGCCAAGAAAAAAACGAGAGATGTCAGTCTTGGTCACATACCTGCCTAGCCTTCTGACTTGAACACAAGTGTCTGTCTTCCCATTGAAGAATGAGTTTCCTGATCTCTTTTCTTGGCCAATGTGGGATTTGTGGTTCACAGCCTGCAATTCTGGCCCCATTTTGCTAAGAATCCAAGGTTTGTATATTCTACAGATGGTCCTCGACTTACGATGACAATTGGGGACTGGAAAATTAAGTGGTGCGGTCATTAAGAGGCATCACATGACTGCACCTGTTTTTAGATCCGTTTTTTTTGCTGCGGTGGTTAACTCAGACATCAAATGATTGCGATTTGTGACCTTTCCTGCCAGCTTCTCCATTGACATTGCTTGTCAGAAGCTGGCTGGAAAAGTCGGTCATAACCATGGGACGCTGCAACTATCATAAATGTGAACTGGTTACCAAGCGCACGGATCATGATGACGTGACTGCAGGGATGGTGCGACTGTCCTAAGTACAAGGACCGATTGCAAGTAATTTTTGTTCAGCACCATCATAACTTTGAACAGTCTCTGAAAAAATAGTTATACGTCAACACTACCTGTATTGATCAGCAGACAGAACACAATAACTATTTCTACAGCTTTTTAGGACTGACATACTGTCCTTCCATCTAGATCAGTGGTTCTCAACCTTTTTAAGGCCGCGACCCCCAACCGGTCCTAAGTCGAGGACTACTCAACCAGTCGTAAGTCGAGGACTACTCAACTGGTGCAGCACTGTTTGCAGAATGGGACTCAGGTCTACTCAGATCTCTTTTATCGGAAGAAAAGGTCACAAATACAACTTCCAATCTCTGCATTATAGTCTCCATTATCCTTTCCCCCCCCCCTCGCCATCTCCTCCCCTTCCTCCTTACAACATTACTTACTAGCTGGGACTATGTGGTGAAGTCCGGTTTGTTACAGAAAGCCGAGGTTTGTTACTGGAAGCGGGCAGCTTCAGTGACCCGGCAGTATCGCTAATGATGTTGCACCAGCTAGGATGGGGGAAAAAAAAGAAAAGAAAAGAGAGTCAAGGGTACCATCTCTCCCAAGCCAGCATCCTCCCAAAATTTGGGGACAGCGAATACCCCCTCCCCCACAGAATTTCCCACCAAACACAAAGGTTTTCTGTTGTGATGAGATTTGGTACAACCGCAGCAGCATCTTTCTGTCCCAATTTTGCATGAACAGAGCTTAACTATTTAAAGTGGTGCTTTAAATAAAGATAGAAGAGTCCTCTCCATCATCCCAGTTGAGGGGGGGGGAAGAGAGAGAGAGAGAGAGAGAGAGAGAGAGAGAGAGAGAATAAGAGAATGAGAGAGAAAAAGAGAGAATGAGAGAAAGAAAGAATGAGAGAGAGAGAATGGAGAATGAGAGAGAATGGAGAATGAAAGAGAGAAAGAGAGTAAGAGAATGAGAGAGAGAAAAAGAATGAGAGAGAATGAAAGAGAATGAGAAAGAAGACAGAGAGAGAGAATAAGAGAATGAGAGAGAAAAAGAATGAGAGAGAAAAAGAGAATGGAGAATGAAAGAGAGATTGAGAAAGAAGACAGAGAGAGAGAAAGAATGAGAGAAAGAGAAAGAGAGAGACAGAATGGAGAATGAGAGAGAATGGAGAGAGAATGAGAGAGAGAGAGAGAGAGAAAGAGAATAAGAGAATGAGAGAGAGAAAAAGAATGAGAGAATGGAGAATGAAAGAGAGAAAGAATGAGAAAGACAATGAGAGAGAGAGGGAGAGAGAGAGGGAGAGAGAGAGAATGAATGAGAGAAAGAGAATGAGAGAGAATGGAGAGAGAGAGAGAGAAAGAGAATAAGAATGGGAGAAAAAGAAAGAGAATGAGAGAAAGAAAGAATGAGAGAGAGAATGGAGAATGAAAGAGAATGAGAGAATGAGAAAGAAGACAGAGAGAGAAAGAGAAAAGAGAAAGAGAAAGAGAGAGAGAGAAAAAAAGAGAGAAAGAGAGAGAGAATGAATGAGAGAAAGAGAATGAGTGAGAGAGAGAGAGAGAGAGAGAGAGAGAGAGAGAGAGAGATGCCCCTTCATCCAAACTAAGTAGGCAATCAATCAATCTCTCACCCCTGTCAGTACTGGTAGTCCTTGACTTACGACCGCAATTTCTCTTGCTAAGCAAGACAGTTGCAAAGTGGGGCTTGCCCCATTTTATGACCTTTCTTGCCACAACTGCTAAGGGAATCACTGCAGCTGTTAAGTTAGTAACCCAGTCGTTAAGTGAATCTGGCTTCCCTATGGACTTGGTTTGTCAGGTCACAAAAGGAGGATCGCGTGATTCCCCCCCCCCCCAGGGATGATGCGACCATCATAAATATGAACCAGTTGCCAAGCGTCCGAATCCTGATCGCGTGACCCTGGGGACGCTGCAACGGTTGTCACTGTGAAAAACGGTCGTAAGTCGCTTTTTGTAACTTTGAAAGGTCACTAAATGAACGGTTGTAAGTCGAGGATTTCCTGTAATCTGGGCAAGTTAAATCTCCCTTCCCACCCCAATTTCTTACTTCTTCCTTTCTGACACCGTCTGAGCCACCAGTTCGTAGATCTGAGCCCCGTTCTCCCAGCTGAAGATCACGTAGAAAGCCTTGATGTCTGCAAGAAAGAGGAGACCATGAATCCTCCTCCTAAAACAGGGGTTCTCAACCTTGGCAACTTTAAGACTTGTGGACTTCAATTCTCAGAATTCCTCAGCCAGCTTTGCTGGCTGAGGAATTCTGGGAATTGAAGTCCACAAGTCTTAAAGTTGCCAAGGTTGAGAACCCCTGTCCTAAAAGAAAACAACCTTTATTTCGAGCCTTGACCACGTCCAACCTGGAATGAGAATGTGGGCAGAGGTCCAAACCAATCAACACCCAAGGCCAAAGTCCTCCGCGTCTGCTTTCAGCTCCCGTGACCGTCTCCTGCACCCACCTGTGGCCACTTCGCGGGTCATGGCAGAGTTGAGCTTGATGATGGGGGACAGCATTTGTTTCCCATCGGGGGTTGGGGTGATTGTGCGGCTGTGACACTTGAGCACCAGGCGTTCTTCCTGCTTCTGGAGAAGAACCAAGATATCATCCAGCAAGAGGACGTGGACATCTGGAAGGGATCAAGGCATGAGACATATGAAGCGAAAGGTGCTGGGGAAGAGGATGTGAGGAGGAAGGTGGGGAGGGGAGCCCTAAAATAGGTCTCTCAGCCAGGCTGTGACCCCCCAACTTGTCTTCCTTAGCTGGTCTAATGCACTGTGCTCCAGTTCCTATAATTGGATGGCAAGGTTGGTTTAGATCAGGGGTAGGCAACCTTGGCTCTTTTATGACTTGTGGACTTCAATTCCCAGAATTCCTGAGCCAGCATGGCTCAGCATGGAAACCTCTCTCTTTCCCCTCAGCATGGCTGGCTCAGGAATTCTGGGAATTGAAGTCCACGAGTCATAAAAGAGCCAAGGTTGACTACCCCTGTTTTAGCTTGTGATAAAATAAGACTTAAAATAAAAGATCAAGACGCCAGCTGAGATACTCAAACCCGAACTTTGGCGACAACCAAAGAACCAACAATGCAGAAGATAACAGAAGAAGTGGGACAATCAAATATTCAGACAGAGGACTCAATTGAACCAACAAATACAGCTGATGGAAAATCCAGAAAAGGAAGTGGCAGCGCTGAAAACGGAAATGACTTTCTATATAAATCAGAAGAAACTTGAGAAAGAATAATACAGGCAAGCAATATCGAGCAAGAGAGGCAGAAAAAAAGTGGGGAAGAGCAGATAGACCTTCTCATTCCCGGCGCTCCAGACGGTCCCAACTCACCAACTGATTTATCCTTGGTAACACGCCACGTCAGGGGTCCCTCGTACACAAGGTTGCGCTTGGTGATATCTGTGTTCTGTGGAGAAGAGCTGGTTAGATTCTGTCTTCTGGCAAAGGTTTTCCATTTCTGATAAACACCCCCCCCCCCAACGACACATCACCGTTCGGGTTTTGAAAAACAAGTTCCCTTTTCTCCTGAGGGGTCTTATGCCTCCCATCACAGCAAGGCAGGCCAAAATTCCACAGGGACAGCCAAGCAGGGTAAATGTGTAATGTCAAAGCTGTTGAAATGTTGATGACCCTAGAAGTCCTATCCCGTTTGGGTCAGAAGCACCTTTTTAAGGCACTTCTGGGTTGAAAAGATTAGTCAGTGACCTCATTGTGGCCCAAGGGATACTTGTGGGGGCTCCTTTCATGTCCCCGTCAAGGAGCTGGAGCAAATGATGGGAGCTCACCGTGCCACGTACGGGGTCTCGAACGCGGGTTTTGCTAAACACCAACCCCACGTCCTAACCACTGGGCTCCTTACCATGGAGGTAATGACTCAGAAAAGACAATCTCAGAAGCTTGCCCTGACTAAGTTACAGGTAGTCCTCAATTTATGACCGTCACTCACCGACCATTCAAAGATACAACAGATCCCCCAAAGCTACTTCTGACCCAATTCAGAAGCTGCAATGTCCAGGCCTCCTTCCCACAGTCAAGTGACCTGTGTTTGGGGCACTCAGCAACAGACCTGTATTTATTGGTCATTTGCACTGCCCCAGGATCACATGACTGCAATTTACTTTTTTTCTGGAAATGGTTGTTGATTTCTGGTTTCCAGAAAAGAAACATATCGTAGTAAACAAGGCATTCTCTTAATTCCCCCTTTAAAAAGGTCATAGAATCAGGTCCATCTCACGACGACCTGCTTTACGACTGCAATCGCTAGGCTAAATTATGGTTGTAAGTCAAGGGCTACTACCTGTACAGAGATTTAAGGACAATTCATTTACTGTTATGGCTTCCTCTGTCCCCACTTGGGTTGAACGCTCTGTTGGGACTCACCCGAAATTCACTCAGCAGAGGATCGGTGCTTTGTTTAAGGTTGGAGAGGTCCAAACGCCGCTGATAATCTTTGAGTTTCTGAAAAACATTAGACAGGGCTTTTCAACCTTTTCACCCATTGTACCACTTTTAGGATATGGCAACATCCGAGTACCACCAGTCGCCTAGCAAGGTGTCAAAAACCTGATGACCCCCCCCCAAAAAAGGAAAAAAGTGATGAAGTACAGGTAGTCCTCGACTTACAACAGTTCGCTTAGTGACTGTTCGAAGTTACAATGGCACTGAAAAAAGTGCCCCCCAAGCCACAGCTGAGCAAAACACCTGCCTGCCCACCCAGTGACACGCTTCCTCCTGTCCGAGGTTTCCATTGTTGTGAGCATTTCTGTTGAGGATTGGCAGCGGGGGTGGGGTGGGGGGTGTTTGGTTTTTATTCCCCCCATCTGCTGGGTGGTTGCAGCAGGTTTTGGTCACTTCACATGATCCTGGGAAACTGTGACCATCATAAATATGAATCAGTTGCCAAGCATCTGAATGTAAATCACAAGACCCTGGAGAGGCTGCAACATTCCAGCTGATCGGCACTTCTTCTGGGCTCAGCGGAAGCACCAGGATCAGTGCCGAGCTCCAGCTGGAGCCTGGCACTGATCCTGGCGCTTCCGCTGAGCCCTGACAGCCCTGCAGCTCCAGCCATCTCTCGCTCAGGCTTGTGCGGTGCTGCCCCCGGTTCAGCTCATTCCCCTCCCCCGCTACCACTTTTCTAGGATGGTCGCGTACCACCTGCCAGGTGCCAATGTACCACAGGTGGTTCCCGTACCACTGGTTGAAACGCCTTGCATTAGGATGCCCATTTTTTTTAACCAACACTGAAGTTGTGAAGAGCAAGGGAAGGACTTTTTCAGAGGTTGCTCGAGGGAGGATCCTTACCAGTAAATTCTCCATGACACGCACTTCTTGGTTGACGTGGTTGAGGATCTGACGACAGCACTCAGCCGCCCTTTCCACCTTCTGACGTTCCTCAGCCTCCTCTGAGCCAGGGACAAGAAAAAATGAAAGGTCTGTGAAGATATGTTTCTTTAGACTGATCTTTCCGCTGAAATTAAGCTAGGTGTATTTTCCACGAAACTGGACATCAGGAAAGACTGAGGGCAAAAGGAGAAGGGGATGGGGAAGATGAGATGGTTAGACAGTGTTAGCGATGCAATGAGCATGAATTTGGGCCAACTCGGGGAGATGGTGGAGGATGGGGGGGGGTCTGGCATCCTGTGGTCCCCTCTCTGCTCACCAGTGCATTTGGCAATAGAATGGAGCAACAGCGGATACTTGGTTAGCCTCTGCATCTCAATAGGAATGATGTCCTTCAACTGTAATCGCCGGCATCGAGGTTTACTTTCTGCTTCCTATGGAAAAAAGGAGAAGAACCGTTCAACAACCAGTGAAAAGGTACCTGGAAAAGGTATTATGGAAAGGCCCTCTCTGGGGTTGCCTTTCAGATCTGTGTAGCTCAATGGTTCTCAACCTTTTTAATGCCGCGACCCCCAACCGGTCATAAGTCGAGGACTACTCAACTGGTGCAGCACCGTTTGCAGAATGGGACTTTTGGCGGGCTCAGCAGGGCAGAGACAGCCTGGACAATTCCTATTGGCTTTTGAAAGCCAATAGAATTAGACTCTATTCAAGAGAGTCTATTCTATTGGCTTTCAAAAGCCAATAGAATAAAAGGGAGCAGCACAGCTAAGGAAAAGGGGGAAAAAATGGCGGACTGCGTTGTTTGGCGACCCCCGTGAAATGGTCGTTTGACCCCAAATGGGGTCCCAACCCACAGGTTGAGAACCACTGGTGTAGCTGGTCTCTCCCATGAAGAAGATGCTCTCAAAACTATTTATCCATCCAGTCTGTCTATCCCCCATCCATCCATCCATCCTATCATCTTTTTATCTATCCATTCACCCTATCTCTATCTATCTATCTATCTATCTATCTATCTATCTATCTATCTATCTATCTATCTATCTATCCCTACCTACCTACCTACCTACCTACCTACCTACCTACCTACCTACCTACCTACCTATCCATCTACCTATTCTTCCTATTTATCTATCCATCCATCCCTCAATCCATCTATCATCTACCTACCTACTTACTTACTGCATCCATCCATCCATCCACCCACCCACCCATCCCAGTCCTGTTCCAGGAATGGCGGATTCCTCTCCTCTCTCAGCACTTACCTGAATGAACTGGTTGAAACGAGCTTCTTTCTTCTGCTTTGCCTTCAGCTGTTCTAATGCAAAAGATTGGCGACTGCAAAAACGGGAAGAGATCTTCTGAAACCAGTTTCCTTCAGACCCATCAAACTAGGGAAAAGATAGTAAGAAGGTCAACCATTTGAAAGGTCTCCTCCCATATCATTCCCAGCCCCGGGGTTTAAATCTCAAATCTTCCCCTCCCACTGTCCGGGGCCTGTGGATATTTGTCTGATCTTTAGCTGGTTTTCAGAGTTAGAGATGGCACTCAATGGTTGTGTCTGGCAGAAGCATCATTAGAACTTGCCTTGCCAACTTCGCCCCTTCTAGTTGCTTCCACACAAAGTATTATTAAACCCAGATTAAACCCTGCTCTTACTCTAGCCAGCAGAGTGCTTCCAATTTCAGAGACAATCAAATTATTTTCCTCCCTCAGCTTCTTCAGGTTGTCCAGAAACAGTTCTGAAAAAAGATGAGACAGCGACAAAACATGAAACAGAGAAGCAAGAAGGCCATGACAATGGTCCAATCAACCACAGCAATTCCGATTATTCCTGCTAAATACAGTAGTGGCCAAAATTGTGGAAACCTTTTGGGAAAAATGTACAGTAGAAATGCCATCTTTGGTTAAGTCTCCATCAATTTTCCTTCTAATTTCTTTATAACTGTAGCCTTGTTCACTTAATAATACTATTTTACATCGCTTTCTGGGCAACCAGTCAACTCTTTGCACCATGTCTTTAATTTTATTACATTTTACAAGCTCACTCAATGAAAGAACATCAAAAAACCCAACCAACTTGATAGCGATCACATAACACATTGACAAATATCCTCCTCTCAGCTTCAATACAGGACATCAATAACTGGATCCTACCGTGATCTGACTGGCTCATTGCCAAAACAAGATGACATCTGATTGGCTCTCTAAACACTCATGCTCATTGGCTACCATCAGATGAAGGAAAGCGACCTGAGATCAACCTAAGCAAGTTGTGCTTCTTTTTTCTGCTTATTTGGCTATAACTTTTCATAGCATACAGTACAGATAATTGAACAAACTTTGTTGCATTACATTCTTGATTAAAGTATCTTTTCATTGATATATAATTTTATGGTACTATTTCCCCCAAAAAGTGGTGTTATTAGCCATCAAACTTCAAAAATACACTTTTCTCAAAAGGTTTCCACAATTTTGGCCACTACTGTATAGTAAATTTAGCTTGGAAGCCTTGGATCAGCTGCCCTGCCTCCACTCCACCCTGTTTGCTCCTCTGTTCTCACTGTGTTCGTCGATCAGATCTTCCAGACTGGGAAAAATGTTCACCAGTTCGCTGTCCGTGAAGTATCCCTCGGTCAACAACGGTTGATAGAAAACCTCAAGCAATACCCGAAGCATCCGCATGTGGGCGTGCTCTGTGATAAACAGTTCTAAAGTAGGAAAGATGAAGGAAAAAATCAGCTTTTAGGAAATCTATGAAATGTCTAACTACGATTAGAATTTTTGTGTGCACAGAGGTGGAAAGACACATCAATTCCTACAATAAAAGATCAGAAGGTTTAAGGCAGATAGGGCCAAATTAAATTTAAATCTTAAATTAAGTCTTAAATTTAGATTTAAGTCTTAATTAAGGAGAGGAATTTATCTACTTTTGTTTCCACTTGGAAACCGCTTTGAGATTTGATGCTTGACAAAACATATTAGGAACGGCTGCTGGAATTGGGTATGTCTAGTTTAATGAAGAGAAGGATGAGGGGGGGACATGATAGCAGTGTTCCAATATCTCAGGGGCTGCCCCAAAGAAGAGGGAGTCAAGCTATTCTCCAAAGCGCCTGAAGGCAGGACAAGAAGCAATGGATGAAAACTCATCAAGGAGAGAAGCAACCTAGAACTAAGGAGAAACTTCCTGACAGCTAGAACAATTAACCAGTAGAACAATCTGCCTCCAGAAGCGGTGAATGTGCCAACACTGGAAGTTTTTAAGAGAAACTGGACAGCCATTTGTCCGAAATGGTATAGGGTTTCCTGCCTGAGCAAGGGGTTGGACTAGATGACCTCCAAGGTCCCTTCCAAATTTATCATTATTATTATTATTATATGGACAAAAAGGAAGCTTTGCTTTTAAGTTTTAATGACTAGATTGACTTTGGGGTTACCAAAGTGGTCTGAAGTAATTAGAAATGTAAAGCAAAAGATTGAGGTTCTAATTCTTCTTGTACTCTTCTTCGCTGGAAAAAAAATCACAAGTCACTCCCTTTTTGTTTCTTTTTTCCTTATCTTTTACGCTCCTCCTTTTTCACTTTCTTGACTTTTGTTTCTATTGGCATTCGATCTCAACATAAACTTTAATTAAAGATTATTAAAAAAACAACAACAACCTGCAACTTAAAAAAAAAACGGTTGGAAACCTAAAACTTCCATGACGTTTGCAAAGTCCTTGCTTTGTCATTTTGTCTGTTTCATCTGTTTCCCGTCTCTTTGACTTTTTGGGTTTGCAAAATATTTTTTACCTGTTACTTTTGTTTTTAATGGTTGTTAATAGTAAGAAACATGCTAGCTAGAGAATTCTGGGAGTTGAAGTCCACACAGCTTAAAGTTGCTGAGGTTAACCCAAAGAGGCTGTTTTTCCAAAAGGCAACTTGGACTTCTGTTTGTTTTTTTTCTTTGAAAATGTTTCGGTTCTCATCCAAGAAGCTTCTTCGGCTCTTCAGTTAGAACTGAAGGAGCTCCTTGGATGAGAAGCAAAATGTTTTCAAGGAAAAAAAAACCCAAGAAAATTCAGTTGCCTTTTAGGAAAAAAAAAAGTACCTTTGGGATAATCATGATCTGGATGATTGAGAATATCCATAGACATTTGATGAGGTTAAGAAACGATGAGTTCTAGGTGCTACAATAGATGTTCTAGATGCTACAGTAAAAACTCCACCTGACTTCCATGAGTTTCTGAGTCTGGTCTACCTAGTAGGGCTGATGGAAATTCCTCACGTAAGGAAGTAGGAAGGTTGGAGGAGAAGTGGGGAGAAAGGGGAGGAGAATGGTGAAGGAAAGAGGAGAGGAAGAAGAGGGAAGTAGGGAAGAGAAGAAAGGGAGAAAGAAGGCAGAGAAGGAGGAGTGTGGATACAGTGAAAGGGGAAATGGGCGAGCAACACCAAAAGTCATGTGTATGTATTTATTTCATTTTATTAAAAGTATCTTATAGATGAATGTAAAAAGAATGTATATTAACATCTGATAAATATCACGGTATATGTATGGGGAGAGTTTGGAAAAATAAAAAAATATTATGAAAAAAAAAGGAAATTCCTCACGTACCGTTGATCACTTCTTGCCGCTTCACTTCACTTTTCTTCAGCCTGAGGAGGGTGTCGGGGGGGACAAGCTCCCGCCAGTTTGGCGGGTCCTGTTCCAGTTCCGAAACACGCGGCTCAAACTCCTCAGACTGGGGAAGCAGAAAGGACGGCGGGGGCTCCCCTCCCCCGGCCCCTCCAGGCTCCAAACTGTAGGAGTCAAAGTGAAAGACAAAAGATCCAGTCAGGATAATCCCACGTTTACTTCTCCATCTGTCCCTCCCTTCTTCAATGTTCTGGTGATCATGATTGCTCTGCTCCAGGTCCCACTGTGGTAGCAACTTCTAGTCAACTATGGTTGATCTAGAACAGGGGTAGGCAACCTTGGCTCTTTTATGACTCGTGGACTTCAACTCCCAGAATTCCTGAGCCAGCGTGGGGGAACTATGGCCCCTTCATGACTGGTGGACTTCAACTCCCAGAATTCCTGAGCCAGCGTGGGGGAACTATGGCCCCTTCATGACTGGTGGACTTCAACTCCCAGAATTCCTGAGCCAGCATGGGGGAATTATGGCCCCCTCATGACTCGTGGGCTTCAACTCCCAGAATTCCTGAGCCAGCATGGGGGAACTATGGACCCCTCATGACTCGTGGACTTCAACTCCCAGAATTCCCGAGCCAGCATGGCTCAGCATGGAAACCTCTCCCTTTCCCCTCAGCATGGCTGGCTCAGGAATTCTGGGAGTTGAAGTCCACAAGTCATGAAGGGGCCAAAGTTTCCCTCATGGTAGCTCAGGAATTCTGGGAGTTGAAGTCCACAAGTTATAAAAGAGCCAAGATTGCCTTCCCGATCTAGCAAAAGGTAAGCAGAGTTGTAACTGGATTAAGTGACCACTAGGAAATCCCGAGATTGCACAAGCTAAACTGGGATAGAAGAATCCCAGGAAAAGACAATGTCAAACCACCTACACAGTCTTGCCAAGAAAAAAAAAAAAAATACAGTTAGCCCTCAACTTGTGTCCATTGTTTAAGGATGGTTCAGAATTTCAACAGCTTCAGAAAAAGTGACTTACTCACACTCGCAACTGTTGCACCACCCTGGTGATTATGTGATTGCAACTTGGGCGCTTGGCTCACATTTTTGACCGGTTGTGAGATCTTAGGATCAAATGGCTGGAATTTGAGACCATTTTTGCCAATTTCTGGGGAAGCTGGATTCATTTAACCACCACGTGATTCGCTTAAGAACTGCAATGGTTTGCTTAACGACCGCCATAAAAATTATGGTAAAATTGTACTTACTTGACCAACTTGATTTACAACCACAATGATTAATGTTGGAAATTCAGGTCCCCATTGTGATTATAAGTTGAAGGCTACCTGTACAGATGTGTTCATTAATTTGTCAGGAGATTGGGTTCAATGCCAAGGATCTCCTGGTCTCCAGGCCAAATCCATCACATTAAACCAGTGCAATTCCAGATTTGCAACATAGATCTGTTCCAAGTGCCAAAAGCATTGCTACAGCAAATGCTCTTGGCAGATCATCTTAAGAAAATGCTATTAATCATCTACCACAATCATCTTCAACTCATCACAGAAGCATTTTTCCCCTAGGATTTTACAATGGGGTAAATTCAAGAACACCTATGAGATGCTGCTGGGTTTTTGTTAAGAGTTTAGGACAGTTTTTCACCATTTTGTCACTGCACAGCTCCCAATTCAACAGAAGCCTTTCTCCCAGTCATAGTTGCCGAAAGGAAAAAAAGTAGTGGGTGAATTTAATTTAAATGAAGCTATTTTCCAACGCGCCTGAAGGCAGGACAAGAAGCAACGGGTGGAAACTAATCAAGGAGAGAAGCAACCTGGAACTAAGGAGAAACTTCCTGACAGTGAGAACAATTAACCAGTGGAACAACCTGCCTCCAGAAGCAGTAAATGCTCCAACACTGGAAGTTTTTAAGAAGAGACTGGAAAGCCATTTGTCCGAAATGGTGTAGGGTTTCCTGCCTGAGCAGGGGGCTGGACTAGATGACCTCCAAGGTCCCTTCCAACTTTACTACTACTATTATTATTATTAAATCTCAAGAGATTATACTTCAACATCTACTGAAAATTATATTTACATGTAAAGAAGGTGGCACAGCTGATTCAGGAGCTGTGCTGGACTATTTTATTCCTTCCAAGATGCCAAGAGTGGTTCTTTTAAAGCAGTGTTTCTCAACCTTGACAATTTTAAGGCATGTGGACTTCAACTCCCAGAATTCCACAGCCAGCAATGCTGGCTGTGGAATTCTGGGAGTTGAAGTCCACATGCCTTAAAATTGTCAAGGTTGAGAAACACTGTTTTAAAGGCTGCATCTTTCCTACTCTCACGTTTTAGAGCAAGGGTGTCCGACCTTGGCAACTTTAAGACCTCTGGACTTCAACTCCCAGAAGACCCCAGCCAGATGTGCTGACTGGGAATTCTGGGAGTTGAAGTCCTCAAGCCTTAAAAGTTGCCCAGATTGGACACCCTTGTTTCAGAGGAAGACATTTGAGAGAGAGGCATCTTCTCTTTCGTTTATTTATGAATTCAATTTGTTTGTCATTCGTCTTGCTGCAAACTCTTTCAGCGTCAAGGACCATGGAGCAATTGTTTAATTTCTTTTGCAGACAGATAGGATCTTCCCTGCTCCCCATCCTTGGAGACGATCCCTGGGAATGCATCCATTGTTTAGGCTACTCAAGATCTCCAGGGGGATCTGCCAAGACTGATGATCCTAAGTGGCACAGGGTCTCCTGTAATTCTTTGACAATGCGCCCCTCTCTGCCCACGTTGGGGCAGCTGAAATGGCGGCCTCTCCACCTACTTGCGGCTTCCCTGCTTCTGCCGAGCCTGTTCTAGAGTTGGTTTTTCTTCCAGCTCGCTGGCCCGGGCCGCGGCTTCAATGTCCACATCGCTCCGCGAACGCGGCTGTTTGCCTTTGGCCGAGCCTCGCTGAGACCGCTTCCGCTCGTAAACCCGCAAGCTCTCCGAGCGGCCCAACTTCCCTGGCAGCCTGGCAAGGGGTAGGGGATAGGCACAGCCAGGCCACAGACAAGTAATAATAATAACCAAAAAACAAACAAAACAAAAAAACCACCAACGCGAGACCAAGGGACGTTGGGTGTGACAAGCCAAAGAGACGTGACACGGAGGGGAGATGAAATGAATCACAAGAGGTGGACAAGAGCCACAGACAGATGTCGTGAGCGACACACACGGAGAGGCGTCACAAAGACCGTTTTGACACCGAGAAAGTGGCAGGGATCACAACCGGGGTACACGCAATAGGGAAGGGGAAGAGGGGGGAGGAGGAGGAGGACAAATTTGCCACAGGCAGTGGTGGGAAGAGAAAGGGAGAGAGAGAGATGTGAGACCCCCTCCCCAAGAACAAACTGAGATATCCATGCACCAGAAGAAGGGAGGGTGGCACTGCGAGGCAGACACACACACTCCTGGCAAGCTGGATCCAACCCGTGGCTGGGCCCAACTGTAGCGACACCCCCCAAAAAGGTCTTGCTTCTTGGGGAGGGGGGTTGACAATACCACCCCAGCCACCTCCTGCCCCTTGTCAATGCTCAAAATAAGGTCTTCCACAAGAAGGAGCTGCATGGGAAGAGAAGGAGCACCCGGGCCAGGTGAGACCTGGAGTTAACCTTTTCTCCAGCCATCGGTTCGGGAAGGGAGACATGGCTTCCCAAGGCAGCTCTGGAGAACAAAGAGGTCATACTTAACTCAGTTTGTGTGTCTTCCCCTGAGGAAGAAACTCATGCAAAGGGTGAGTAGGGGGTGAGGGAGCCACCAACCTTTTTCGCCTTCTAGAAGGGAAGAACAGAATACAGAAGGGTGATTGTGTTAATCCCGATAGGAGAGAAAAAAAAGGAAAAAGGAGGAGTGTGTAAGGGGAGGGGAGGGAGGGTGTTGGGCAAACCTCATATGAAATCTCAGGAAGGGGTTAAATGCTGTTTAAATGTGAGTTGAACACCAAGGAACCAGGATCGAGGAGATAGAAAACCAACCTCCACATAAGTCTGGAGGTAGCCAAAGTGACAACAGGAACTGTGTATTTATTTTATTTTAATCTATTTAAATATATCCCCCTTGTTATTATTTTTTTATAAACAACACTAAGTGGTGAACATATCTCACACTCTTTCCTCACAACAACCCTGTGAGGTATTCTGGGCTGAGAGAGAGGGACTGGCTTTGAGTCGCTCATCTGGTTTTATGGCTAAGGACTAGAACTCACTGTCTCCTGGTGACTGGCCCCAAATCACCCAGCTCACTTTCATGGATGAAGCGGGACTAGAACTCACAGCCTCCTGGTGATTGGCCCCAAATCACCTAGCTGGATTTCATGGCTAAAGCAGGACTAGAACTCACAGTCTCCTGATCTCTACCCAGATACCTTTTATCACTAGATCGAATAGCTGTTACTCTCCAAGGACACATTGACATAGTCTTTAGATTCCTGGCCAGCCTTACAATCTAGGTTTGTCCAGATATAACTCCCAAAGTTTGTGGGACATCCTTCTGGCCAAAAAAGCTGCCTAGATTTGCCCAACAAGTTATGTCCACCTGTAGGCTTCATAAGGACCCCAACTCACTCTTTGCAAGGCCATCAACACCCTCCCCCACCTGCCCTCACCTTTCATTTTCTGCGCTTTCATCCAGCGAGAGCTGCTCTCCAGCCAGAGGTTGCTCAGTAACCGGTGAATCTCCTGAATCAGCTAGACCCGCACTGTCCAATCCTAAGGAAAACAGAAGAAGGTGTGAAGGAGGAGGGGAGACACGCTGCCAAATCACCTAATTTCATTATCTTCCTGTAGTGGAAGGTGGTCTGGATTCCCAGGAGGGAGGGGCTGAATTCCAGAGAACCAAGAGACAGTGAAGCTTAGACAGTTTGGCTAGGACAGGGGTAGGCAACCTTGGCTCTTTTATGACTCGTGGACTTCAACTCCCAGAATTCCTGAGCCAGCCATGCTGAGGGGAAAGGGAGAGGTTTCCATGCTGAGCCATGCTGGCTCAGGAATTCTGGGAGTTGAAGTCCACCAGTCATAAAAGAGCCAAGGTTGCCTGCCCCTTGGCTAGGAGGAACAGGGTCAAGACTGCTCCTCCCTAGAAGTTCTCAGAGTATATCTTTAGTGATTGCAGGTGCTTGTCTAAGTTTGGCAAGATTAATATCTGGCTCCAAAAACCAAGAAAGGCACGTTGAGGTTCCTTTATCGTTCTTCACCTATAGGCAGAAATTTTGCCCAACTAAAGCAAACTACTTGCAACATTAAAGAGATACTCTGAGAATTTCTAGGGAGTTGACTCTTGATTCTCTTCCTCCCAACCAAGGGGCGTCCAACCTTGGCAACTTTGAGGCTTCTGGACTTCAATTCCCAAAATTCCCCAGCCAGCGTGGGAGGGACCTTAGAAGTCTTCTAGTCCAACCCCCGGCTTAAGCAGGAAACCTTAGACCATGGCTGGCTGGGGAATTCTGGGAGTTGAAGTCCAGAGGTCTTAAAATTGCTACGGTTGGACACCCTCGATCTTAACTTTGCCGTCTCTTGGTTCTCAAGAAAGCAGCCCCTCCTTTCTGGGAATCCAGACCACATTCCCTCACACTCCCTTTCTCCCGTTCATCCCCTCTCACCCTGTTCTCCGTCATTGCTCTCTCCAGGTGGGGGATGCACAGTGACAGACACACCAGAGGGATCCTGCGCCGAAGGGGTCCCCTTGCTCCGCCCGGAAGTTCCTTCTGTTGACTTGGTTTTTTTGTCCAAGGCTGGTGTCTTCTCAGCTGCTTCGAGGAGAAAATGACAAGAGGAATCAAACACTGTCAAGAAGCCGTTGACCTCTGCCAAATTGCTCTTCCCACCTCACCCTTCGTAATGGGCTTATGCACAGATTAGGACATGCCAGACCAGTGGTTCTCAACCTTTCTAATGCCGTGACCCCATAATACAGTTCCCCATGTTGTGGTGACCCCCAAGTGGGTGTGGCCACCAATAAGAGGGAGTAGGACAGCTAGGGAAAAGGAAAAAAAAATGGCGGACAGCGTGGTTTGGCGACCCCCGTGAAACGGTCATTCGACCCCAAATGGGGTCCCGACCCACAGGTTGAGAACCACTGCCCCAGATCGAAAGCGATTTCCAGGTAAAAAGACGAGGAAACCCCCCCCCCGCCTGGTATACTCTTATTTAATGAACTTTACTTGCATGTGAAATGAGTGCAATGGTGCGATAGTTTGAACATTCTTTGGCATTGGAAGGTAAACTGACCTTTTTCCAATCCTGTGGCCGCTGTTGAGTTTTCCAAATTTGCTGGCAAATTGAGTGTAGCCCTTTTACCACATCGTCTTTTAAGATTTTGAATAGCTCAGCTGGAATACTGTCACCTAAAGGCTGAGCGCCAAAGAATTGAGGCCTTTGAACTATGGTGCTGGAGAAGACTCCTGCAAGTCCCCTGGACTGCAAGGCATTCAAACCGGTCAGTCCTGGAGGAGATCAACCCCGACTGCTCTTTAGAAGGCTAGATCCTGAAGTTGAAACTCAAGTACTTTGGTCACCTAATGAGAAGGAGAAGAGCCTAATGCTGGGAAAGATTAAGGGCAAGAGAAGAAGGGGATGACGGAGAATGAGGTGGCTGGATGGAGTCACTAAAGCAGTAGGTGTGAGCTTAAATGGACTCCAGAAGATGGAAGAGGACAGGAAGGCCTTGAGGGACGTTGTCCATGGGGTTGCGATGGGTCGGACACGACTTCGCAACTAACAACAAAGGCAATGCCTCCTCTCTCCTTGCCTCAAAGTTAATGCATTCCATTACACTGGAGAAGGCAAGCCATAACTTGGTCAAGGTGGAGCCATAATGCTCAGGTGGATAAAAAAAAATGATGGTCTGATAATCTGCTTTCTCTAAGCCAGGACAGGGGCCAAGGTTCTAGGTGCAGCTCAACAGAGATGTAAAATCCCACTAGAGAGGGCTGATGATAGCTGAATTAAGATTTTACTCCGCTTTCTTCTAACTGGCAGATAAAGCCCCTAAAACAAATGAGCTTGTCACTAAGTCTGCATTTGCAATCCTGGAACTCTTTGGGGAAATACGGGATTGATAACTAGTTAGGTGGCACAGAATACTGCATTGTTCCTCTCATTTTACAGTGTTTTATTTCTTCCACTTTGTTCATGCCCTTATCTTATTTTACTGAACTTTGGTCTGTTGTTTTTAATGTTGATATGCTCGATGGGTCTGTGAACTGTACCAAGGGCACTGAACTGAACACAGATAAAGATATTTCCTTTAGACACAGCAAGGGCGAAGTACGAGGGATGGAAGGACATCCTGGACATGTCATACCAAACCACAGCCATGTTTGTTTGTTTCGTTTTAGCACGCTCTGTGTAACTCAGTGGTTCTCAACCTGTGGGTCGGGACCCCATTTGGGGTCAAACGACCATTTCACGGGGGTTGCCAAACAACGCAGTCCGCCATTTTTTTCCCCTTTTCCTTAGCTGTGCTACTCCCTTTTATTCTATTGGCTTTTGAAAGCCAATAGAATAGACTCTCTTGAATAGAGTCTAATTCTATTGGCTTTCAAAAGCCAATAGGAATTGTCAAGGCTGTCTCTGCCCTGCTGAGCCCGCCAAAAGTCCCATTCCGCAAACGGTGCTGCACCAGCTGAGTAGTCCTCGACTTACGATCAGTTGAATAGTCCTCGACTTACGACCGGTTGAGGGTCGCGGCATTAAAAAGGTTGAGAACCACTGGTGTAACCAAATGCGTTTGGTGGATTGTCACAGAAGGAATTATTTGGTTAAATTTGGTAGCTACTGTGAGAGATCTTTTGAAGAGCCAGCAGCAATCAAGGGAAAGGTGTCATTATACCAACAATAAAGAATCAAACACCTTCAATTCCTTCATCCTAATAACAGGAAATCAACTCTTTGCTGTGGCAGGATCCAATCTGGGTCGGTCACCAGAACTAGGTGTTTTGTCTTCCAAGCTTTCAAACTCATGCTGGACGTCCATCCTCAAGGAAGGTGTCTCACAAACTTCTCACACGCACATTCTGGTGAGAGAGGACTTCCCTTCGGATGGGCTCCAGCATGAAGCTAAACCTCCGGTTCCTTTGACCGACCCACATTGGATCCTGCAGCATTATCCCCGGGACACGTATCTTTGCCTTCATTCATGTCTGCTGTGGCCCAATTCTAGTTTGCAGTTACCATTCCATGGCACATAAGTCAGTTCCTGGATTAATAAAGGTTCTTGAGATGTTTATGAAAAGAGCCAGCTGCAAGCTGCCTCAAGCAAAGAGACCACTTCACCAGGTCATAGGACAGCTGTTAGAACAGTGGTGGCGAACCTAGGGCACGGGTGCCAGAAGTGGCACTCAGAGCCCTCTCTGTGGGCACGTGCGCCATTGCCCCAGTCCTAGGCCTTCAGCTGGGTTTTATAAAACCTTTTCGCTTTAGGCCTCTGCTGCCGTGTGAAAAAAAAAAAGGTTCAATCAATCAGTCAATTTCAACTTCTTGTGGGAAAAAAAAAAAGATCTTGCAAAGTTGGAATTGATTGATTGAACTTTTTAGTCCCACCCAGTCTGCCGTTACCACTGCAGCCACGCCCACCCAATGGGCCACACCCACCCAATGGCCACCCGGCACCCGACGATGCATAAGTGGGTTTTGTGTTGCAGTTTGGGCACTCGGTCTCTAAAAGGTTAGCCATCACTGTGTTAGAATATCAGGACATTTCTGCCTAATGCACATGGGGATATATTGTTTCTATATTCCATTTAATAATAAGAATAATAATAAAGTTGGAAGGGACCTTGGAGGTCACCTAGTCCAACCCCCAGCTCAGGCAGGAAACCCTATACCATTTCAGGTTGCTTCTCTCCTTGATTAGTTCCCATCTGTTGCTTCTTGTCCTGCCTTCTTCTGGTGCTTTGGAGAATAGGTTGACTCCCTCTTCTTTGGGGCAGCCCCTGAGATATTGGAAGACTGCTATCGTGTCCCCCCTCGTCCTTCTCTTCGTTAAACTAGGCATCCCCAATTCCAGCAACCGTTCCTTATATGTTTTAGCCTCCAGTCCTCTAATCATCTTTGTTGCTCTTCTCTGTACTCTTTCTAGAGTCTCAACATCTTGTTTACATGAATTGCTGGAATTCATGTAACCTCCTCGCGTTCACCCATGTCTGTGGAGATTCTCAATCATCCAGGTTCATGGTTGTCCCAAAGGTGCTTTTTCAAAAGACCACTGGGACTTTGTTTTTCGTTAAAGACATTTCACTTCTCATCCAAGAAGCTTCTTCGGTTCAGACTGAACGGTGGAGAATGGAAGGACTTATATTCCTTGCAGTCATCTGGTCGTTAGCGCTCTTTCTGAGAGTTGTTGAGGCCACTTGGAGCAGTGTTTCTCAACCTTGACCGTTTTAAGGCATGTGGACTTCAACTCCCAGAATTCCACAGCCAGCATTGCTGGCTGTGGAATTCTGGGAGTTGAAGTCCACATGCCTTAAAACGGTCAAGGTTGAGAAACACTGACTTGGAGGTTTATCTGTGTCCTCGGGGTCACCTGAATAGTGTCCTGTTTACAATGCAGTCCTTTCAGCAGTTCCAAGAAGGTTCCACACCCATTTGCACTATTCAGGTTGCCTTTTGAAAAAAGCACCTCTGGGACATAAAATCTGGTTTAAAAGTACCCTGCTTGGAAACACAGTCACATTCAGTTTTAGCAGATGCTGAGGAAACTAACATCAGGACTGAGAAAGTTCAGCTAAGCGGAATCGAGCAGGCAACCAAGTTGTGCAAAATTGAAATACTGAGAAGGACAAGTGTGTTTGTTTGTTTTTTTTTGTTATCACCACCACCACCACCACCACCAAAGTTTGATCCCTAATATTAACTATCTACATATAAGGTGAATTCACCCTGGCAAGTAAAATGGAGCAAGTGCTTAATTTGTGCATAAGCCATAGAGCAAAACGATAGCATCTGTGATTTATTCCCCTCGTTGTTGATTCAACGCGGGACCCAGAGGGACAGACAGACAGAGGAGCACACAGTGAGCATGCCAAGAACTTTGTCTGGGAATGTGACAAGGTGTGATGAACTTTTGTAGGCATGTGTATGATTTTCATTAGTATATTACTTAATGGGTGAGTGCAACAGTGAATTAAAAAGTTAGTGGCGGATGTTATAAGAGGCAGATTAGTTCTATATGGCTTCCTGATCAGAAGGGTGGATGGGTACACGGGGTGCCATGCGTTACTACAGAGCTGGTAACAGGAGGAAAAAGTAGGGTGCTAGTACCTTCACCCTCAGGTTTGGGCTGTCTGTAATCAGAATCTACAAAAAATGCAGCAAAAAATATAATGGAGAACAATGGGGAAAGAGATGTCATGTTAATCCCTTCCTAGCTATTGTCCCAAATTGATTCTGGGCAAATCACAGGCCAGACTCACCAACCAGATGATCTGATGCACACAAATGGATCAACTGTTGGAATTTGTTTTCTTTACTTGCCTAGCAACAGTAACCACAAGCTTTCAAAAAAAAAAAATGAAGAAGAAGAAAAAGAAGAAACTAGCCAGTTTCCAAAGGATGCTTCTGAAGACTCCTTTGAGGTTGACCCTAGAGCGAGTTGCAAGCCAGTGCTGGCACCCAGTCAGACTGGACTAAATCCAGATGCAGTCCAAGCGACTTTTTCCTGAAAGAACATTTTAGTTTTCTTCCTTCCTTCTGCCTCAAAAAGGAATATCTTAATGATTGGTTTAAGCCAGGGGTAGTCAACCTTGGCTCTTTTATGACTCGTGGACTTCAATTCCCAGAATTCCTGAGCCAGCTTAGCTGGCTCAGGAATTCTGGGAGTTGAAGTCCACGAGTCATAAAAAGAGCCAAGGTTGACTACCCCTGGTTTAAGCTATGTAAGGACTGTCTGGTGACATTTTTTCCAGGGGTGAGTCTGAGGTTTTCGTGGGTGTTTGTATGTAGATCTTTGGTTATTCGGGTTTTCTCCCGCGTAAAATTGGAAGTATCTTGGCGACGTTTCGATGAAGTCTCATTCATCATCTTCAGGCTGGTGTTTTCGGCTTCGTGCTTCTAGGAACATCACACATTGTTCCTAGAAGCACGAAGCCGAAAACACCAGCCTGAAGATGACGAATGAGACTTTGTCGAAACATTGCCAAGACACTTCCAATTTTACGCAGGAGAAAACCCGAATAACCAAAGACCTACACACACACACACACACACACACACACACACACACACACACACATATTTGCAAAAGAATGTCATGGAAATATTTCTGGAATTGTGGGGCTCTGCCTGCTTGAAGGAGATCTTCCCCATTGCAACTTCTCTTAAGCTTACTCGAGGGTCAGTTTTACTGTTATTTGTTTTAAAATTAAAAACAAAAAAATGCTGTACAGAAAGTCCTCAACTTACAACAACTGAGCCCCAAATTTTCACTGTTAAGCAGGTCAGTTGTTAAGGGAGTTTTGCCTTATTTTATGACCCAGTTGTTAAGTGAATCATGCGGTCGTTCAATGAATTTGGCTTCTACCACTGACTTTGCTTGTCAAAGACCGGCTGGGAAGTTTACAAACAGTGATCATCACATGACAGTTGCGGGACAGTGCAACTCTCGTAAATACAGGCCAGTTGCCAAGTTCCCGAATTTTGATCGCGCGACCACGGGAATGCTGCAACGGTCATAAAGTGTGAAAACCAGTTCTAAATCACTTTTTCCCAGTGCTGTCGCAACTGAAATGGTCTACTAAATAAATAGTTGTACGTTGAGGACTAGCTGAAGTTGGACAGTTAAATCTTGGGGAGACTTCAAGAGCCTCAAAAGAGCGGCTCAGATTGCACGGGGCCACCGATGATTGCAGACCCCCCCCCCATTCCTAAGGAAACCTGACAACTGGGGGTTTAGGATAGCAAGTTAAATAAAGGGCGTTTGGGGAATCCCCGAGTTTGTTTTGCGTACTTACAATGGGAATCCCCACGGTTCCACCGGGCTGGGTCCAAAATGCTGAAGCCTTTCTTTGGTTTGAGGGCTTCCTCTTGTTTCTTGGTGCCTGAAATCTGGATCAGTCAGAGAAGAGAATCGGTCACCTGTTTTCCCAATCCTAAGTGGGTCACCTCTCCTGCAGAAGCTGCACTGGCTCTGGGTTCAATTCACGGGGCTGGTTTTCGCCTTTAAAGTCCTTCGTGGCTTGGGACCAGGTTATCTGAAGGACCATCTCTTTCCGGTTACATTCACCCGACCCACCAGAGCGGGGAGGTAGGGAATGTTGCGGGGTCTCCTCTCCTAGGGAGGTATATCTACCTTGTCCTGGCGCGCCAATTATTTCAAAGCCTGCTTGAGCAAGGGGCTGGACTAGAAGACCTTCAAGGTCCTTTCCAATTCTGTTACGCTCTTAAGCCTACCTTTTTGCGGAAAAAGTTTGCTTTGGACTTCTTGTTATCAGCTGTCTTCGTCTTAACCCCCAGATGCTTCATATACGTGACAATGGCGGTAAATATGGCAGAGCTAAACGGGAGGAAAAGAAAAACAGCAACAATTGTAAGGTTCGCGCAAAGCAAAACCGCAAGGCTACCAGGTGAGAGGATTCAAAGCAGCATCTGTTTCAAAAGACACAACCAAATGCAGAATCCAAGCCACTTAATTGAACAGGGACTCAATACATATACAACAGGGAATAAATGAGCCTTGCTTTGACTTCTCTCGCGTTACTTCCTTTTTCCAGCTCCAAGAGTTATTAACAAATTTCACTTAAATTTATTTTTTGTATAAACATGCATAACGCATGTGGAAAATCTAAGAAAGATTTGGCAAAAAAAGAGAGCTTGACACATCTTCCAATTCACAAATCTGTTAGGCTGCACAGCTCTTACCTCCTCCCTTGCTGACACTGAAACCTCAAAAGCATTTTTTTGAGACCAGCTGCTTCCAGCATCCTGCTGATCCCATGGGTGGGATTCCCTCTCCCATCATCTCCACCCACTATCCCTGGTTGAGATTTGGGAAAGTCTAGTCCAGCTCACCAAGGAAGGGTCAACAAATTAGTTCATGCATCCAGAGAGACACTCCCGACTACACACAGTCTTTGACTTACAACAGTTCATTTCGTGACCGTTCATAGACACTACAGCACTGAAAAAAGTGATTTATGACCGTGTTTCACACTTACGACCGCTGCCGCATCCTCATGGTCACGTGATCAAAATTCGGACACTTGGCAACTGACTCATATTTATGACGGTTGCAGTGTCCCGGGGTCACGTGATCCCCTTTTGGGAATTTCTAGCAAGCAAAGTCAATGGGGAGGCCATGCACACTTAATCTCTGTGGCAAGGTCATAAAAGGGGGCAAAATTCACTTAACAACCGTCTCCCTTAACAACAGAAATTTTGGGCTCAGTTGTAGTCATAAGCTGAGGACCACCTGTAGTGTGAGCAAATGGACTGATGCTGGGGAAAGAGGATTCTGATGTTTTTAAGCACTTGGGACCTCTCTCACGATCCAATTCTGGAAGGGTTAAATGACTTTTTTCTTCTTCCCCTCCTCCCAACTTCCTGAACTCAATGTGCTGCAAAGCCACATCCGGTTCTATTTAGGAGAGTGCAAAAGTGTATTTCCGCCCGCACCCCCCTTCCAGAAACACACACACACAAGCACACACACACACAAAGCACTCTGCACCTGTCGGTTGCATACCTTTTTTCCTCGTCGGCAGAAATGGTGAGGCTGGAATCCATGGAGAGAGAAAAGAGAGGGGGAAAAAAAATTAGGGTGTGAAGCACACATCTGGGTTATGTTTGGATCCGGAGGATCCAGCTGTTTGTCCAGAGGTTAACAGCTGGCCTACAGCGCTGCTGCAAGGAGGTGGAAATTTCAACCCTTCACACACATACCCGCCACTCTAACAATTCAGTCTGCCTTCCCAGGACGAAGAGAAAGCAAACCACCTACAGCCAGATGTTTAGGGGCCCATGATCCCTTGCCACTGGCTGGGGCTAATGGGAGTTGTAGTACAAAGCCTCTGACAGATAATAGTCTGTCAGCGATGCCCCCTTTCTTCCTCCGGGACAACAGACTCTCCAAGCCACCCCTGTCTTACTGTATGCCCCTTGCCCACCCCCCTTTTTGTTTCTGGAAAACTTACCGGTAGCACCGCCCCATTTTTGCTCAGCAGAAGCAGAAAAGTATTCAAAAGGCAAATAAACATGTTCTGTCTGGAGCAGAAAGCGGCTGCTGGATGGAGTGGCATACAGCAACTGAAGGGGCAAGGGGCCGCCAGGGGCGTTTATACAGCCGGCAAGGATGATGCAACCAGAGGCAACATCCCCGGATGGGTGGGGAACATTCCCCCTCCCCTCTCCTCCCCTTTTGCCAGCTGGATCCTATTATCCAGCAGGGACTTGCCAGGGTCTCGCTACTGATGATCTGGCTGGCTCCCCACTCTCATCCCAGCCCTGATGGGATGGCTGCCAGACCCAGAGGCTTCCAGCCTGGGAAAAAAAGGATGGGAGGAAATAAGGGCTAGGAAGGGAGATCCCAGCTGGCAGGGAGGGGGTCTTTCTTGAAATAGAAACCATGGATGGGATCTGCCCCTGGAATAGAACAGAGGATGGTCCACTATAAAGGTAGACCAGCAGGGACAGCTACTCAAAGCTAAATGGTTGCAGACTAACAAGAGTTGGAAGGGACCTTGGAGGTCTTCTAGTCCAACCCCCTACTCAGGGGAGAAAAGCCTATATACAATTTCAGACAACAAATTGTTGTCCAACCTTTTCTTAAGAATTTCCAGTGTTGGAGCATTCACAAGTTCTGGAGGCAGGTTGTCCCACCGATTCATTTTTCTAACAGTCAGGAAATTTCTCCTTAGTTCTAAATTGGTTCTCTCCTTCCTTTCTGAGAATGAGGGGTGCTTTCTGCCCCAGCCCAGCTACAGGCCCCCCAATAGGACAGATGTCAATGCTGCAAATACTGTATATTCTTGCTTTTGACAATATGCAGAACTGTCTGGTATTTTTAGAGTTAATGCAGAGCAGAAGAGGGTAAAGGGAAAGAGAGAGGAAGCAAACCTTTGACCTTTTTACTAATTGGATAACCGTGATATATGACAGCTACTTTGGGAAGGGAACATGCTGATAATTTAATTGCTCAGGGGAAGAGAATTTAGATCTTGGCACGTTGTTATGCTTCCGGCTAATGAAACACTTCAAAGAACTTCTGGGCACTGATTTTCCTAAAAGTCATTTATTGTTACAAAATGTCGGCACAGGCATTAACGGAGGTATGCCAAGATCTTAATCCTCCACGTGGGTCCATAAACCCGAGGGTGACACCTGCAGCAAGGTGTGGAGGTGTTTAGGACTCTTTCCAACTCTGCTGTGATGGATGTGGAAGACCATCTTCCCAAGTATGATGGCAACTTAGAATCAAGATGGCGCCTGGAAGAGATGAAGGCTAGCAGAAGGGGTTCAGGGGTGCAAGGCTTGGAGCATAGCTAGAACAACGTCCAAGAAGGGACGGCATCTCTGCTATGATGAAGGAGGAAGCTGAAAGGGCAAGCTAATAGTCCACGCACAGCAGTAAGTCAGGAGAACTTCACTCACTGCATCTCCTCCAGTTTGACCAACAGCTGCTCCGCCAGCTGTTTCTCTTTGGCCTCTCTGATGCCTTTGTCCTTGGTCCGATAGCCTTCCAGTTCAAAAAGCTCCTTCTCTCCTGGAGTCATTCCCATTTTCCTTTTTTCCCTGCGGAAACAAAGAACAGGCAGTCGAGCTCTGTCCACAGGATGGAATTAATAGGTGAATTCAACGGAATTAAAATCCATTTCCAGCGTTGGCACAAAAGCTTGGAGTCATCAGCAAAGCCCCGAGCACAACATGCTAAGCTATAGAGAAACCTAATGAAGTGTGAAACTAACCAAACCCAGCAAGTTGTGCAAATACTTTTCCTAACTTAGCTTGCCCATGCCTGTCCGAAGACATCTAAGATTGCGCGTACAACAGGCTGAGTTTGTACAACATAAACCTAAAGGTTTCCCCTGTCCAGTCATGTCCAACTTTAGGGGACGCTGCTCATCTCCATTTCTTAGCTGAGGGAACCAGCGTTGTCCGAAGATATTTCCTGTGGTGATGTGGCCAGCATGACTTTACGCCGAGGCATAAAGAATTCTGTTACCCTCCCACTGAAGTGGTACCCATTTATCTACTCGCATCGGCGTGCTTTCAAACTGCTAGGTGGGCAGGAGCTGAAGCAGAGAACGGGAGCTCACCCCATCACACGGTGGTCAGGTCTGACACCTGGTGTCGTGGTTCCAACAGATGAAGCTCTTCACAAGAACTTAAATATCCATGGGAAAAAGAGGTTGTAAAATTGGGGCACAACTTACTTAACCACCACTCACTTCGTAATGGAAATTCTGATCCCAGAATTTGTCATAAATTGAGGACTACCTGTACACCAGAATATTCTTTTCTATTCTATTCTATTCTATTCTATTCCATTCCTTATTCTATTCTTATTCTATTTCTATTCTATTCTTATTCTATTCTATGATCTCTTAATTCTATTATTTCTAATTCTATTCTATTCTATTCTATTCTATTCTATTCCATTCCATTTCTATTCTTGTTCTATTTCTATTCTATTCTTATTCTATTCTATAATCTCTTAATTCTGTTCTATTCTATTCTATTCTATTCCATTCCATTTCCAATTCCAATTCCAATTCCATTTCTATTTTATTCTTTTCTATCCTAATTTTCCTCTTTGAATCTACATCCCAACCCATCCTTACAATGAACTCAGTCACTTATTTCTCTAGCTGTTGGAACCAAAAGCCTTGTTAAGATATTTAAATTTAGGAGCTGGAGCAATGAGGTTGTTACAGTGAGCCAGAACACACAGTTGTGATTGACTGGAGAGTGCTGACTCCTGTGTGAGGCAATCTGTGCTGTGACTGGTTACTGTGGGTGTAAAAGGAGAGTTTCCCATTTTTCCCGCCTTTTTTTCTTCTGCGTGCCCTGTGATTTACCTCATAATGCTCCCGTTTGCCTATCTTGTTTGCTGTAAACACAGATGTTAAATATATTTATTTGTATAAAATTACAAGTTCAGGTCAGCATCTCTGACTTCATTTGAACCCCTGCTGCACAATCCCTGACCAGATTAGCTAAATCCTTCTGCAAACAGTGGTTCTTAAAACTGTTTGACCCAATTGCAGGCAGCCCTCCGTTAATAACAGCGGTTGAGACTGGAATTTTCATCATTAAGTGAGGCGGTGGTATCACTTAGCGACAGCATTCCTGGCAATGCCAGTTGCCATCATTAAGTGAAGCCCACGTGGCCATTAAGCACAATGCCCCATGGCCGGTATTTGTGACCTCCTGCTTGTGACTTTGATTGTGGGAAGCTGCAGTGAAGGCTTTTGAGGGGGTCTTGAGAATGGCGGATTGCAAACCTGAAGTCCTCCAACTGCTGGGAGATCTCCGTTGCTTGAAAAGATTGGATGTCCTGCAAATATTTTTTCAGTTGGTCTTCCGGGATGAGATCAGGTCTGTTTCGGTCTGCGATCAGAAAAGAAGAGAAAACCTAAAACTCACAGCCAACTGTTCAGCAGTCATGGTTTAAGACAGCTTTGGGGGCAAGGAAAAAGAGTCACAAGGGCCCTAGGCCGACATTTCATTACCCAACTAAGTAACATCATCAGTGATAGAAGTGAGTGGAATTTGCTCTCCCTTCTAACACTGATGATGTTCCCTAGTTTGGTCTAATGAAAGATCTGCAAGAAAACAACCAAACTTGAAGGACATCAAGGACCCCACAGCCCTTCTCCTCCATTCTGCAAACCCCACTCCCTTCTAGCACGGATGATGTTCCCTAGTTGGGTAATGAAACGTCTGCAAGAAAACTACTAAGCTCAGAGAGTATTAAGGAGCCCACAGTTCTCCTCCTCCTTCACGCCACAAACTCCACTCCTTTCTAACACTGATGATGTTCCCTAGTTGGGTAATGAAACGTCGGCAATAAAACCACCAATCTCAGAGAGACCCCACAGTTCCACCCTGAGCTACAAATAGATTTGTATAGAAGAGAGTATCGGCAACTTCAAGTTTCCCAGCCCTAACCTAGGCAAAGCTTGCAAAACTTTGGTCAATTCGACACTCAAAAGAATCCATTTCCAACATGGATTTTGCACGGCTACCATTCCCAAAGATTTCTGGTGGAGTTTTGCTCCTGCCTCCATCCCGTGTCTAAATTCGTCCTGCCACAAAGAGCCCCTGTGAAAACACTGCATCGCTTGGACTTTCTTTTTGTGGTTAGCGGCCTTCCAAGTCCAGAGGGATATTTCTGCTGCTATATTTGTACAAAAAGAGCAATTAAAAAAAAAGACTGCAGACCAAAAGACAGGACACTGACATAAACTTAGAATAAATCCCTCCAAAAGCTTTCCCAGCTGTCCTGGCAACTGGCCTGCAGGATAAATAGGAGGGCTTGGTCTGCTGTGGTGAGCTGAGAACCATGGGGGGATTTGAAGTCCGCTCCAGGGGAGGGACCCGGGCTGTGATTTTGTGCAAACACAGCACAAGCAAGGCAAATTGTTTGCAGCTGCTCCCATGCCACGGTCCTTGGCCTGCTCCCATAAAGGAAGTTGTTCCTGGATCAGAAGAAACCTTGCTAGAATTACGAGGCGACCATTTGTAGGGTGGTGCAGCTGTTGGCAGACATGGCGGAGGGGACAATTCTGGGTTTGAAGCAGTTGGTCTCCTCCGTTGAGATCCATAGGGCGGTGATCTGGCGAGGCCCAAAGAGGTCCCTCAGATCAAAAATAAGAACATGGGGAAAATATTGGCAAGGGAAAGGAAGCTATTCATAGTTATGGCAGCTTTTTTCAACCTCGGCAACTTTAAAAACGTTTGGGCATCAACTTCCAGCAGGCTGGTTGGAGAATTCTCACTTCCCCCTCCAGGATTAGAGTCCTACCACTTGCTAAAGATTTGCAGTTATTTAATATGCATTTATTCTAACCCGGTCTAGCGGTGAAGGCGCTAGAAGTCTAGAAACCAGGAGGCTATGAGTTCTAGTCCTGCCCTGGGCGTGAAAGCCAGCTGGGCGACTTTGGACCCATCGCCAGGAGATGGTGAGTTCTAGTTCTGCCTTGGGCCTGAAAGCCAGACCGGTGACTTGGGGCCGGTTCCTCCCCGCCCCCTCTCTCTCTCAGCTCAATCCACCTCACAGGGTTGTTGTCATGGGGAAAATAAGAGGAGGATGGAGTATTAGGCATATTCCCAGCTTTGACTTGTTTATAAAAATAATTTTTTTTAAAAAAAAAACCAACCCTAAAATAAATAAATAAATACTTAAACGCACAACGAAATAAAAATGCGAGTTTCTTTGCCACCTTTTCTAAACCAGGAACCTCCGCTACGCTTCTGCCTCTTCTCTTTTTTTTTTTTCTCTTGATACACCTCAGAGACCTCCCTTACAGAAGAGGGTGACAGGATGTTGCTCAGCCCTTCCCTTCCCCAGTCTTTTGGGGAAGGAGCCCTTCTGCACAGCTCAAAGGGCTTCCCCACCCCAGAAATAAGATTTATGCTCTGCCTACAGAGCTTCCAACTGGCCTCCTAACTCCCCCCCCCCTGCTATTTCAGGATCTCTTTTGAGTGAAAAAAACAAAACAAAAAAACAGTCTTCCGGAGCATGTGTTGGTATGTGTGCTCACCCACAAGTGGGTGGCATGGTGTTGCAATCTGCAGGTGTGGCCGCTAGGTGACACTCAGAGGCTATGGAACCAGCTGGCCCTAGGGGACACACACACACACACACACACACACACACACACCAACAAGGCTCCCGTCCTTCCCTGCTGGGGGGGGGACGACTCAGATGAGATGAGCTAATTGTTGGCAGGAAAACAGCAGCTGTCCCACTGTTCTTCAGCTTCCTGTCTTTCATTTAGTTTCACCCGTGCCAGCAGCTGTAGCAAAACTAAGAGGTTGTGTGTGTGTGTGTGTGTGTGTGTGTGTGTGTGTGTGTGTGTGTGTGTAGGGTAGATGAGAGGAGAGGCTTTGGCAGAGATGGGGAAGGTTAGCAAGTGGGTGGGACCTGCAGCTTGGATCAAAGTCGGGCGGATTGGAACAGCAGCTGAACCCGCCATGTTGTCTTGCCCCACTGCAGAAAGTTAACACAAATATTGTGTGTGGATCCAGGGCTGTCATGCCTGCCCCTGCAATCCTAGGGGCCCTCAGCCGTGCACGTCCACCCAGCCGCAAGTCTCACAATGAACACTGACTTTCAAGGGTGCAAGGCGGATTTTCATCTTTTCCTTTCCTTCTGTCTAAAATTTCAGGGGTGTCCAATCTTGGCAACTTTTAAGACTTGTGGACTTCAACTCCCAGAATTCTCTAGCCATCCCTTCAGGCAGCAGAAATACGTGCACTCAAATGAACCAAAACTTTACTCTTTCAATGTAAACAATCCAACAAACCATAATTAGCAGAGCTGCAACAAAAAAAAACCCCAAATTTAATTACGCCACCCGAAATCCGGTGGCTTTTCCACAATTTTGCAGGAATGGGGAAAAGTAAAATTGACCAATATTGGATTCAAAGATTTAATGGTGATTTAATACTTCAAATCACTTTCCGGACTGAAGTGTCACTCAGTGTGATGAGTGTGGACTGAACTAATGAGGTGAAAGAATATATATTTCTGAACTGATCTGGAATGCCAAACTAAACCGATCCAAGTTAAGGATTCTGTTCAAATATCTGAACTGAAATAGTTCCATTTTTCAATTGAATTCACAATTTAAACCAGATTTTACATGAGTCACTCTGGCCAAAAGAACAACCATAGACTATTTGTTTTCCCCAGTTGCCAGAATATGTTCTACAAAGGAAAGAATTGTGCGCACAGCACCAGACAAAAGAGATTTATGCAAATAACTGCTTAAATAGGTTTTTCTCCAATGGGATGTCCCTCCAGATGTGCTCAAACTGCAATTCCCATAACTCCCAGCTAATACGGCCAACAAAACCCTTATATCCAGTTAGTAAATGCTGGAGTATAACACAGCAGAAGCTACACAATCTTTAGCTCAGGGGTAAGGCAACCTTGGCTCTTTTATGACTCGTGGACTTCAACTCCCAGAATTCCTGAGCCAGCCATGCTGAGGGGAAAGGGAGAGGTTTCCAAGCTGAGCCATGCTGGCTCAGGAATTCTGGGAGTTGAAGTCCACCAGTCATAAAAGAGCCAAGGTTGCCTACCCCTGCTTTAGGTCAACCTCATCTAGGCTGAGAAAATCAACCACCAGAGGGCAGCAAAGATATTCAGAAAACCTGAATATTTTGCTGCCATCTGGTGGTCATCTGGATTTTTGCAGCTCACATCTGGTCCACTTGTTAAACTCTTGCTTCAGATCACACCACATACCGCCCCATGAAAGTTGGCTCTTACCCAGTTCAAACTGCACAGCATTTGGAACAGGGACTCTCAGTAGCTGTGAAAGAGATAAGAGAATGCAAGAAACAGATCAAAACACAGTAACTGAAGATAAAGCAACTATCAATCATGAAGACTATCTGAAGCCTTTACGTTCCTACCACCCTGTAAACCAGGGCAATGAGAACAAATGGTATAAACCTGATCTGGAAAGGCAAACAAAAGGGACCTGCCCCTCATGATCAATTATCAAAAGATTTGGGTGAAAGATTTCTTCAAAAGCTCTTCCTAGATCAGTGGTTCTCAACCTGTGGGTCGGGACCACATTTGGGGTCGAACAACCACTTCACGGGGGTCACCAAACAACACAGTCCGCCATTTTTTCCCCTTTTCCTTAGCTGTGCTACTCCCTTTTATTCTATTGGCTTTTGAAAGCCAATAGAATAGACTCTCTTGAATAGAGTCTAATTCTATTGGCTTTCAAAAGCCAACAGGAATTGTCCAGGCTGTCTCTTCCCTGCTGAGCCCGCCAAAAGTCCCAGTCTGCAAACGGTGCTGCACCAGTTGAGTAGTCCTCGACTTACGGCCGGTTGAGGGTCGCGGCATTAAAAAGGTTGAGAACCATTGTCCTAGATAGAACAGGGAGTCTTCAAACTAGGCCCTTTTATGCCACGTGCCTGGCTGAGGAATTCTGGCAGTTGAAGTCCACAAGTCATAAAAGGGCCATGTTTGAAGACCCCTGTGCTAGAGTCTACTCACCCCAGTTTTGTCTAAGAAGGCATGGCAGAAATCCACAAATTGCTTCTTGGATTCCTTGGGCCCAAGGCGGTTTAGGATGAGGTCCACGTGCAGGTAACAGAGCTACAAGGAGAGAAGATATTAAAGGAAACAAACAAACAAAAAAAGCTACTGAAGAGACTGTTTTTTTTCTTGCAGACATTTCATTACCCAACTAGGTAACATCATCAGTACTAAAAGAGGGTAGGATTTGCTTGCTCTCTGAACAAACAGAGACAGACACAGAGAGCAACCCCAATCCCTTTCTGGCCCTGATGAGATGGGGAAAATGTCTGCAAGAAACAACCAAGCTCATTGACTATCAAAGATCCCACCTACTCCACAGACTCCATTGTTTTCTAGCACTGATGATGTTATCTAGTTTGGTCATGAAAGGTCTGCAAGAAAACCACCAAGCTCAAAGAGCACCAAAGACCCCACTGTCATCCTCCTCCCTCCTCCTACCTTTCTCCTTCTCCTCCTCTGTGCAAACCCCACTCCCTCCTAACACTGATGATGTTACCTAGTTTGGTCATGAAACGTCTGCAAGAAAATTCACCAAGCTGAGAGAGCACCAAAGACACTGCAGTTCAATCCTCAGCTATAAATATTCTCTTCTATCACTACTGAAAAAAAGGAGAACTCGACTTCTAGTTGAGATTTGTAAAACTTCCTTATCTGGCCATTTTTTCCCCTAATTTCGCAGCGATGCTAGAGGTCTACTTTGTGGAGAATGAAAGAAAAGTGTGGAAGGTGGAAGGCAGTCTGGAGGGAGGGGGCTGCTTTCCAAAGGCTTGGAATAGCTGAGTAGCTTTTCCCAGAGTACATCTGTAGTTATGGCTGGGGAATTCTGGGAATTAAAGTCCACCCATCTTAAAAGTGGGGTGAGGAAGCGAGTTGAAAAATCAAGACGGTTGTCACAACTGGGATTGAAGATTTACCCACTCTCTCTAGCAATCTTTAAGAGAAATAATTAGCAGTCACGGAGGGATATTGGGTTTATGATGGGGCCCCAGGTTGTTTTACTATTTGAAGAGGTATGTTGTGTTTGTCGCTCTTGACAACAATCTCTATTGTCCATTGCCAATTTTGCTAGCACTATATTATGTCACACGTTAATGTTACTTAAAGAAGGTGGCAAGAATCATGCAATTTCCTGTCATACTAGACTCATCCAGTCCAGCAAGAAATGCATCGGTGAGTCTTCTATTGCAGTGTTTCTCAACCTTAGTAAACTTTAAAATGGGTGGACTTCAATTCCCAGCATTCCACAGCCTGGCACTTTTTTGCCTTGGAACTCAATCCACTGCACAGCCATTAACACACATCTACGTGAACAGTACCAGCACAAACATGTGTGTATTCAGTGCCTGTTGGGCCCCAAAGTTCAGTGGTTCACCCTCGTCAGCGGAGAGGGTGTGTGCTTCATGGTGGTTAGGTTCTTGGTTCAGGGGGGAAGGAAGAGGAAGAGAAGTGAGCAGCTGCAGTAAAAAAAAAATAATGCAAGGGCGGATGCGTCAGCTCACCACAGGGCTTGAATCAAACTGCAACACCACATGTTGTATGAAGACCATCAAGTAGGCAGGGTGCTTCATGAGGATCTCCAGGTTTTGGAACAAGCCGGTTTGAGCGTCCGGGTGCTGGAACTGTGGAGAGAACCCAACATAGGAAAATCAGAAATAGCGATGGGGTCCTTAGTGCTCTCTGAGCTCCGAACAAAAACATCACAAATCATGGTCAGATGATTGCAGATGGCTGTAAATGTGATTGCCAAGCACCCAAACAGGGTCATGGGGGGTGTGTGTGTCAGATGTTGTAACTTAGAAACCGGGTTGTTAATGCTGAGACTCCAGAAAGAGTACAGAGAAGAGCAACAAAGATGATTAGGGGACTGGAGGCTAAAATATATAAGGAACGGTTGTTGGAATTGGGTATATCTAGTTCAGGGGTAGGCAACCTTGGCTCTTTGATGATTCGTGGACTTCAACTCCCAGAATTCTCAGCTTGGAAACCTCCCCCTTTCCCCTCAGCATGGCTGGCTCAGGAATTCTGGGAGTTGAAGTCCACGAGTCATAAAAGAGCCAAGGTTGCCTACCCCTGGTCTAGTTTAACGAAGAGAAGGACGAGGGGGGACAGGATAGCAGTCTTCCAGTATCTCAGGGGCTGCCCCAAAGAAGAGGGAGTCAAGCTATTCTCCAAAGCGCCTGAAGGCAGGACAAGAAACAACAGATGGAAACGAATCAAGGAGAGAAGCAACCTAGAACTAAGGAGAAACTTCCTGACAGTGAGAACAATTAACCAGTGGAACCACCTGCCTCCAGAAGCAGTGAATACTCCAACACTGGAAGTTTTTAAGAAGAGACTGGAAAGCCATTTGTCCAAAATGGTATAGGGTTTCCTGCCTGAGCAGGGGGTTAGACTAGATGACCTCCAAGGTCCCTTCCAACTTTATCATTATTATTATGGATCATCGCACAATCAGCCAGATGTTCAGACTGGATTTGGCATTTTGTCTACCTATCAAGTCCTTACCCAGGACCTGGAATAGGCAGATGTGGATATTTGATGGTATTACAGATATCGTCGCAGGATAGAAGCAGTTCCTAGTAAGGCCACCTTTTGCAATTGAATTATTATTATTATTATTATCCATTTTTCGGGGGCTGTGGTAACTTTGAATAGTCGTTAAACGCCTGTCGTAAGTTGAGGACTACCTATATGCGTTATAATGTTACTTCTTCCATGCTTTTTCCCAACTTAATCCCTCCATCTTTCCTTGTAGGGCAGGGGTCCCCAACCCCCACATGGACCAGTACCAATCTGTGCCATGCCAAAAACTGGGCCGTGCAAGCAAGCAAAGTCCCCTTTGTAGGATGCAGGCAGCATGCAAAACCACACCTCCTCCAGTCCACGGAAAAGCCTGTCTCCCTGGTACCCCAAACTTTGGGGGCTGCTATTGTAGGGGGCTCATTTTATCCCCTTAACCTTCTTACGTTCCCTCTTGCATTTCCCCACTTACAGGTTCAATGTCATTTTCAAAGTCCTCATCTTCTGCGCCAATGATGGACATAGCCACGCCTCCTTGAGCTCCCGGAGCTGAACTCTGGGGAAAAAAAAAAACATCAGAAATTCCCCCCAGGATCATTTAAGCCAGGGGTCCCCAACCCCCGGGGCCACAGCCCATTACCGAGCCATGGCCGGTTGAGAACCAGGCCGCCAAAGCAGCAGGCAAGGGTATGAAGCTTCCTTTGCACACGGGTGAGATTTCGGTTGCATGCATGAAACCATCCCCTCCCCCCCATGCCCAAACCGGCAAAGCCACTGGTGCCGCTGCCAGTGGTCCGCAGAACCCAAAAAGTTGGGGACCCCTGATTTAGGCCACGGTTCTCTCAAATCCAGTAACTTCAATTCCCAGAATTCCCCAATAAACACGCACACATCTTAAAGTTGCTGAAGTTGGGCAACAACACCCAGGGAGATCTTCTTATCTAGCCAAGCTCACCTCAACCAGTGGGCCTTTCTCTACCCCGGAAAAAGGGTCTAAACATTCCATTTGTTGGAAGAAGTTCACATTACTTCCTCTTTTCCCATCCCCTCTATTGTTAGATTAAAAGCTCTGGGAGGGAATCCTATTTCCTGTCCCCAGCATTAATTAATATACCTAATTTACGAACACCCACTGCTTTCCCTTAAAAGCCAATTTCCCACAGCGCCCTTCAGATATGTTAAGATGGCAAGCCCAGAAAACTCGGTATCAATAAAATTCAGAATAGGAACCAACTAAAAGCCACTGGACTAGAAGCTCAAGAGAGTGTGACTTCCGGTTCTGCTTAAGCACAAAGCCGGTTGTAAGGTCCCTGGGCCGGTCACTTGTCTCTCTCAACTTAGAAAGAAAACAATAGCAAGTCCCTTCCAAAGGCAGGGACTTGTCCACATGTTGCCAAGAGTCAAGAATGACTTAAAAGAGCACACACAAACACACAATATATCTATATCTGCATCAAAAAGCTCCTATATGCAGGTGCACTGGTCTTCCCTCTGACATTGTCTGTCTGTCTGTCTGCCTGTCTGTCTGTCTACCTGTCTGCAATCTGTCTGCCTCTCATTTGTGTGTGTCTGCCTGCCTACCTACCTACCTACCTACCTTCCTGTCATGTATGTCTGTATGTCTGTCTGTCATGTCTGTCATGTCTGCCTGCTTGCCTGCCTGCCTGCCTGCCTGCCTGCCTGCCTGCCTGCCTGCCTGCCTGCCTATCTATCTATCTATCTATCTATCTATCTATCTATCTATCTATCTATCTATCTATCTATCTATCTATCTATCTATCTATCTGTCTGTCTGTCTGTCTATCTATCTATCTATCATCTATCTTATCTCTCGCTCTCTCTCCCTCCCTCCCTACCTGTCACCTATCTGTCTGTGCCAATCTGTCTGTCTGCTTACCTGTCTGTTAACTATCTCTCTATCCATCCATCCATCCCCCTCCCTCCTATTTGCAAGCACACCCCAGCCAATTACTTACTCCATTGTAACCCTCCTCTAACTCCATTCTGCCCCCTTGGGGGGGGAGGGTCCCAGCAGCTGAGTCAAGGTGTCCAAATAGCCTGGATCAGCATACACCTAGTGCCACAAAAATAGTATTATAATTATAATATACATAACAATGTGACAGAGCTAGTGCCTGTTCTTTAGCTGGTATTCACCTTCATTTGCAACAAGTTCTTCTCAAGAACTTAGGATGTCATAATGTTTTGATGCATTGTTATTATTACTATGGTTTGTTGCAGTCAGCCAGATGTTTAGATTGGATCTGGCATTTGTGTTGAATCCTTCCCAAGGACTTGTGATAGGCAGAGGTGGATAAATGGACAACCGTATCACCAGTGCACAAGCTGTTCTCCAAAGCCCCCGAAGGCAGGACAAGAAGCAACGGGTGGAAACTAATCAAGGAGAGAAGCAACCTAGAACTAAGGAGAAACTTCCTGACAGTGAGAACAATTAACCAGTGGAACAACCTGCCTCCAGAAGCGGGGAATGTTCCAACACTGGAAGTTTTTCAGAAGAGACTGGACAGCCATTTGTCTGAAACAGTATGAGCAGGGGGTTGGATTTGATGACCTTCAAGGTCCCTTCCAACTTTATTATTATTGTTGTTGTTGTTTTTGTTGTTTTGTTATTGTTATTATTATCCCAGAGTTGTAACTCCAGGAGTGCCAAACTTGGCAACTTTAAGACTTGTGGACTTCCTGTACACTGCTCCATTTGTCTCAAATTGTATAGGCAGATCTCCTGCTTGAGCAGGGGGTTGGACTAGAAGACCTCCAAGGTCCCTTCCAGCCCTACTTCGGATTGATTGAATAGATTCAACATGGTTTTGCTTGGGGTGGGTGTGGAAGAAGACAAACGTCTCCAACCCCTCTCCAGGGCTATATGCAAAAAAAAAAAAAAAAAAAAAGCTATAGAACGGGCGGGGGGGTGGAAGAGATTTCATACACAGGAAGGTATTCAAGCTACCCCCAGCCCCATTACTCAGAAATTCCTGCCTTAGGTGGAGGTGAGTGTGGCATGAATGCCGCCTCTGTTACCTACAAAGAGGCCTCAGAGAAGCGGGTGGCAGTAGGGAAAGTCCACACCCCACAGGCAGCCTGACTCATGCAGGGCATCAATCCAGCAGGCTGGCTGGTTGGCACTAAGGGAGGGAGAAGCTGATTTTTGTTGGGGGGGGGAAATGGGTCAACACCGGAAAAGGAAAAAAGCAGCATCCCACTGCCACACCCTGGAGAGCTCTAGGGTGGGATTCTGCCCAACGGCAATACCAATAGCGCTTCAACAGGTAGTCCTCGACTTACGGCATTGGAGCTCCCAATTTCTGTCGTTAAGTGAGACACTCGATAAGTGAGCTTTATCCCGTTTTACAACCTTTCTTGATTCATGTGAATCCCTGCAGTTGGTAAGTTAGCAACCTGGTTGTTAAGTGAATCTGCCCCCCCCCTCATTGACTTTGCTTGTCACAAGGTCGCCAAAGGGGGATCCCATGTGACCTTGGGACACAGCAACGGTCGTAAGTAGGAACCAGTGGCCAAGCGTCTGAATTTTGATCGCGTGGCCAAGGAGATGCTGCAGGGATTGGAAGTTTGAAAAACGAACGGTGCCGTTGTAACTTCGAAGGACGCTAAATGAACTGCTTGTTAAGTCGAGGACTGCCTGTACCAATAGCCCTTAGATTTATCTACCGCTTCACAATGCTTGACAGCCCTCTCTAAGCAGTTTACAGAGTCAGCCTATTTGCCCCCAACAATCCAGGTCCTCATTTGACCGACCTCAGAAGGATGGAAGGCCGAGTCAACCTTGAGCTGGTCAGGGTCGAACTTCTGGCAGTGGGCACAATCAGCCTGCAATACTGCATTTTAACCACTGTGCTGCTAGGAAGGAGAATGAGAAAGGGAGGGAGGGAGGGAAGGAAGGAAGGAAGGAAGGGCAATAACAGAAGCACTTAGACTTATATACTGCTTCACAGTGCTTCTTAGCCTTCTCAAAGTGGTTTATAGAGTCAGCATATTTTAACAACTTGGAGGGCCAAGTCAACTTTGAGCTGGTCAGGGTCGAACTTCTGGCAGTGGGCACAATCAGCCTGCAATACTGCATTCTAACCACTGTGCCACCAGGAAGGAGAATGAGAAAGGGAAGGAAGGAAGGAAGGAAGGAAGGAAGGAAGGAAGGAAGGAAGGGAGGGAGGGAGGGAGGGAGGGAGGGAGGGAGGGACGGAGGGAGGGAGGGACGGAGGCAGGCAGGCAGGCAGGCAGGCAGGCAGTCATAGCAATAGTACTTAAGACTTATCTACCACTTCACAGTGCTTGACAGCCCTCTCTAAGCGGTTTAAAGAGTCAGCATATTTTCCCCCAGTAATCTGGGTCCTCATTTTACCAACCTCAGGAGGACAGAAGGCTGAGTCAACCTTAAGTTGGTCAGGATCGAACTCCTGGCACTGAGCAGAGTCAGCCTGCAATACTGCATTCTAACCACTGCGCCACCAGGGCTCCCCAAACACCAACGCTCCATCACCCTCAAGGGAGAAAAGGCTGAATAACCCAGCGATGGGGGTTCGGCTGGTCCTCTTTACATGCCAAGGGGCTTTTTGGCCACTAAGCGGCACATCCTCCTCCAAGAATGGGAAACAGAAATAGTCCATGAATATACAGCCACATAAATTCTGTGGCTAAGCAATGTGATGATTATGAGTTGCACCGGATTTTACGACCTTTTTTGGACACGGCTGTTAAGCGAATCACTGCAGTCGTTAAGCGAATCATGTGGTCGTTACACGAATCTGACTCTCCCCTCCCCCGGTCACTGACTTTGTTGGAAACCGGCTGGGAAGGTTGCAACTGGTGATCACAGAATGCAATGGTCGTAAATGTGGGGAATGGCCGATAAGTCACTTTTTTTTTCAGTGGTGTTGTTGTTTTGAGCAGTTGCTAAACTAGTGGTTCTCAACCTGTGGGTCGGGACCCCATTTGGGGTCGAACGACCATTTCACGGGGGTCGCCAAACAACGCAGTCCGCCATTTTTTCCCCCTTTTCCTTAGCTGTGCTACTCCCTTTTATTCTATTGGCTTTTGAAAGCCAATAGAATAGACTCTCTTGAATAGAGTCTAATTCTATTGGCTTTCAAAAGCCAATAGGAATTGTCCAGGCTGTCTCTGCCCTGCTGAGCCCGCCAAAAGTCCCATTCTGCAAACGGTGCTGCACCAGTTGAGTAGTCCTCGACTTACGACCAGTTAGGGGTCGCGGCATTAAAAAGGTTGAGAACCACTGTGCTAAACGAATGGATGTAAGTCGAGGACTATCTCTATTCCTTTCTTAGGACTCAGAGTTAAAAGCTGGCGTTAAGGACTGTCTGGCTACTACTGGCAGCCACCTAATGGAAAACAATGGGCTTTTTCAGCAGGCAGTTTTGGCACTTTCAAGTTTTGAGGCTCAACAAAATTTGTCCACATTAAATGAAACCAGATTGGGAAGTTCCTTTGCGGACATGTTTACACCCCCTCCCATCATAAGCAATCCATCATTTAGCCACCTGCAGACACAGAAATTAATTCCAGAAGACAACATACAACAAATTAAATCAAAAGCTAGGCTTGCTTTTGTCATCTGGGCCCGTTGACAGCCCACAAGAATGAGAAATGCAAACTCAGGACAGTAAACATTCCTGAGGACTAGTAGCTTTGTAATAAGCAGGCATACATTTGTAAGAGTAAACTGAATTTGAAACTGAATTTCACGTTTAAGCACAGAGCTTCCAGCTAAGGATATATTTTTTTCCTTGAAAGAAACTCCACAGTTGTTGTTGTTTTTGTTTTAACAGTCGGTCCCGCCAAAGACACACACCCAGAAATTCAAGATATTGCTCTTATGTACATTCCTATGTACTTAGTAGAAAAAGCTGAGCTACTGTTGGTTTTCTGCCAATAAACAGACATAAGATTTGCTTAGTCAAAGAGAAATGACAACCCCCAAATTACAGCCCCCCAATATAACTATGGAAACAACCTGTTAGGTTTTCAGATCAGCTGGAAAGAATCACTTTGGTCTGGGAAGTTAAGGCTGTAGGCTGGAAAGTGGGAGACGGTGAGTTCTAGTCCCGCCCTAGGCATGAAAGCCACCTTGGTGTCTTTGGGCCAATCACCAGGAGACGGTGAGTTCTAGTCCCGCCTTAGGCATGAAAGCCGTCTGGGTGTCTTTGGGCCAATCACCAGGAGACGGTGAGTTCTAGTCTTGTTTCAGGCATGAAAGCCAGCTGGGTGACTTTGGGCCAGTCCCTCTCTCTCAGCCCAGCCTACCTCACAAGGTTGCTGTTGTGGGGAAAATAGGAGGAAGGTATATCGGGTATGTTTGGCAGGATACAAACTAACAAAACCCCTATAATTCCCAGCCAGCAGAGGATGATGGGAACTGTGGTAATACACCTAAAGAGGTTCAGTCTGGAGAACATAAAAGCCTGGTAGCGAGCCAGCATTTTTTTTTTAATACATCTCTTTGTTTCCTTGCTACAATAGGAATTAGCCCGGCATTATCTACAGTATGCTATTTGAATGGGAAAATAAGGTTCTATAAAACGTAGCTAACTGAGGCAGAAACGTGACCAAAAATAGTGCATCAAAGCACCAAATATATATATATATAAAATAATAAAATATACGAATACCAGGAAATTATAAAACTATAAAAAGTTTTAATAGAATAAAACCAAGCTTTCGCTGGCTACTGCCAGCATCATCAGGGTAGCATCCAGTCGATGGGAGAAGCTATTTATAAATGTGGCGCTTTTTATAGTTTTATAATTTCCTGGTGTTCGTATATTTTATTATTTAACATGAATCTACCCAGGAATCACTGTTTTGTTTTTAATATTCTTAAGAATATTAAACATCCAACAGAGGATGATGGCTTACCACATTTATATATATATATATATATATATATATATATATATATATATATATATATATATATATATATATATATATGAATGCGGTAAGCCATCATCCTCTGTTTAATCAGGAAATATATCTTTTGCAAAAGAGAACATGCAAAAGACACAAGCCTATCACAGACCCTGC